ATCCCTAAATGTAATGACCTGAAATATTAGCCTACTTTATCTAAGTCAGTAGAACATTTTTGCTATACATTGTGCATTCTTGCCACACGTTGCTACACTGAAATCTTGCTGTAGCTATTCCTTCTACCTTAAATATATACATTTTTTAAATGTTATCATTACATTAATGTGTTATCTAGTCTCTCCCTTATCTTTAGGATGAGTGAAAAATATGCCAGTGAAGGGGTGACGTATTCTCTAACACAGAGAGAGATGTTTTTTTTTAAATTGTGGACAAACATAATAGTAGTAGTAGGGGAAACCTCACACACCAGAGAGCAGTGACACACATGATATGCTGTCTGTGTGTTACTCTAGTCCAGACACAGAACAATGGAGCAAACTGGGTCGCCGTTGCCAACTGGCTGTGCCAAACAGCTGGAGAGGGAGATCATTGGAGGAAAAGGGGAGGAGGATGGGGACTAAGCAGGAATTGGTTTAAAATAAGACCCCACAGAGAGCATGCTAGGGAGGAAAACTAAGCCTTATCATTCAGATTCCTACAATTCACCTTCAGAGCAAAATGGGTATGATTTCATTTTGTATCATTACATTTTGCCAGCAGACACTTATAAATGGTGGTGCTGTCTGCTATCTGACTGTGTATGAGTGCATGTAAATAATACATGCTGCAACACTGGCTTTCTCTCACAAAATATTCAGCTGACTCCTGAGCATCTCAGCTGCAGAATAATAAAGTGCAAAGCTACTCAGGCGGGATGATCCACGCCAATGGACCATAACCCATTTACATTTCACAATTTCAAGGCTGTGTCTCATCCAAAATCCGTAAATATACGTTCATATTCACTAAAAGGAAACACATCACATTAGGTCCCCAGGCTCAGGCATGGCATTAGACAATCACGTGTTGGGTTATGTTACACTACGAGCTTTTATATATCGTATTTATACCCCAAAACTGTAGCAACTAGTAATGAGGAATTGATTGGTATATCATTATTGTAAGCTAACTAGCTAGTAGCTAACAGGCAGCGTAGCATAATATCTTTCACCGCCATCACGAAGTGTGTATTTACAACCACCGTCTGTTGCTCAGCTAATCTGCCCCGTTCATCAACGCTGCATTGTTCGTAGGGTGAGTGCAACAAAAAAAAACAGGAAGCGTTCTGGTCAGCCAAGACCTATTTTAAATCTAGTAGTCGAAGTCGACCATTATAACCAGCTATGTCTGTAGCTAACTCGATAGCTTACGAGCTAGTCCAAGCCCCTGTGGTAGTTGTATCGATGTTGAGTCAAGACGTTGCCTGGTTGTCTTTGTGGTACACAGCACCAATAAACACCACCAGACACAGCACTAATGTGACATTAAAAACGGAACCTTACCTTTTCTGCGTCGATTTCCGCGACTATAGGATCATTTCCTGGCGCGAATTATTTGTTTATGTGATTTAGTGGCTTGTTTTCATCAATCCGTCTCGTCTCTCTCCTCCGGGAGTCGTGCCGCCCCGGCTGACAGCACTACTGCTCAGGATGACAGGGCCCCGCCCTTAGCAACCAATGGGATGCCGAGGTTCTGGAAACAGAGGCAAGGTGTGTTCCCTATTGGTTGGCGGCTGTGTCCATCATCTTGTCGCTAAGGCTGCAACTTGGTCCAAGGGCAGAACACCTGCCACGGAAGGATGCTGGGCTACGCATGTGTGGTTAATTCAAGTGAAGAAAGGGCTGTAGGAAAAAAGAAAATATACATGGGGTAGCATCTATCATTTTGATAAACACTTGCAAATAAGCTTAAAATGCACACATCCAAATCAGCACTTGAGATGAGCACTTTTATTTTTTAAACCAATTCCACACTGTAATATTGCATACTGTAAATATTTTTGTTCTAAATCATTGGCTTGTGTTAATCATACAGCATATGTAATCAACTAACAGCTCTGACAAGGTTTTGATAGCTTGTGGCATATGTAGTGTTGAGACCAATTGCTTCAATTATACTACTCTCACAGACTTCCATTTGGTTTTGTTTACCTTTAATGTGTCAGCTTTTACAAAAAACGAATGAAAAGGGTCAATGCTTCAGTGCTTCAGCTCTCTATTGGTATGTGAGCAGCGCTTTATAATTTTTTTAACGAATCACTTACTCAGCAGCACATTTTTGTGTGAGTGTGTGTGTATACTGTAGCTTGTTTTTCTCAGTAAATAGCTTGAGGCTTACATTAAAAGTTAACGCAGTTGAATATACTTGAAGTGTGTTCTGTTTTTTTTTTTAATTATATCAGTGCAGTCTCTGCGCGAGAACCAAAACAAATAGTTCACAAACCTGACTCCAACAAACACATTTGAATTGGAAATTATGATTTTTAACCCTTAGATGCACGAGTGACTGGACCCTACACTCTTCCATAAGTGGGTCTAAATTCTAAAAGGACCCGTATTAGAATAATATGTGTTTTTATGACATTTTTGTCATTTTGGTTAAGAAAAATCACTTGTATAATATTTAGTATTGTATTTTGGTTCGCATTAGAAATATTTTATATTTAATTTTTCACAATTTATAATTTTATAATTTTTTTTTACATTTTGAAAAAAACCGTTTTGAGCATATTGTCCCAAAGATCTCCGCTATTCTGAGACCCTCACAGTATTCCAGTTCCTTTTCAAAACTCATCTCTTCTCCTCTTGTCTACTCATAGCTCAGATATTGCTTTGTAAAATAATCTTCCTGAGAGGTGTCACTTCACGTGATGTAGTCTGTGTGGTCAACAGTGAATGTATTCCTGACAGCCACAGGTGATAAGAATCAAAGGTTCCCATAGGATCCCATAGAAAATGCATGCGGGTCATTTTTGACCCATTTATGGAAGCTTGGGGTAGTAATACAAAACCTAAAATGTCTTAAAATGTAAATTTAAAATTTGAATGGCATGATATCCAAAACATGTTTTTTGAGGAATAGCTGGAATATGAAATGATAAAAAAATGTAATTACAAAGATACTTCAAGAAAACCACCTCACCGGGTCCAAAAAGACCCACTTATGAATCTAAGGGTTAAGAAAACTGAATAATCCTAGTGAAATAATAATAGTATTAGAGCCTGACATCCCCCACAAAAATTGATCAATCTAGTTGAGATATGATTATGTTGGTATGTCAACAATCAGGTTAACAAATAGCCACTCAGGGAATGAAAATTGACAAAGTCATGGGTGAATTATCTCATGGCTGAGCACGTGTAACTCCATATACAAAAGCAGCCTGCTGTAGAGACCTTGTGCTCTGTGTCTCTTTTGCAAAAGCTGATTAAAGACTCTTAAAACAACTTTTTGGATCGTTTGTTGCACAATTATATACAATATACAGAACATACACTGAGAACTCTACTGTACAAAATATATATGCATATGCACAGCATGATAGGAAATGATAGTCCTTATTTCCTAGTTTTTCTATTATCTGAATTGTTGATGATTGTCAAAACAACTGTTATAAGGCAGCAACAACAAAAGGCATATCATAAGGCATATCATATAACAGATATCAGTATAAAAAAGTATAAATAGAGACATTAAACAAAGTCTCAAGCACAGAGGCAACCAATCTAAATTAAACAGATCAAATCCCTCCTATGGGCATGCTTTAACCAAACGTTTAATCTAGTCCAGGTCAGGGTCAGGGTTATTCAGGACGTCTGAACAATAAAGGTTTGATTCCATTGTTTCAAGATATGGCAGCATACTGGTTTTGCTTCATTATCAGTCAGAACAAATACTGTACAGTACATGCAGTAAAAAAAATGGCATTTAATAACAAACAATTAAGGAAACATTCATATAACACACATTTACATTGAAACATACATGTGTCGGGAACAGGAAGATAGCTGCTACACAAAGCGGATGCGGATCATTTAGTGATTGTCGATGGTTGAATCCCTTTCTCTCCCATTGACTGGGTTCTCTCGTATTTAAAGTGCATAAAAGTCAATACAAATCTCAATGGCAATTTCATTTTCCAATTCAAATGGAAAAGTCCAGTTCAAGTTGTCTTTCTCATCCCATTCACTACAAACCTGTAGAACATTATTTATATATCAGATATATCATGTTGTGTGTCAAAAATTATCATTATTTGTGTAATTGAACGTTTCATTTTCTGGTTTATTTTATGAATTACATTTAATTTGTTGCATTCATTTTAAAATATTGCATGATCACAAAACAAGCCAAATGCAACCGCTGATGTGCAAAAAACTGATTTAGTTTATGCAATCCAAGACCAGTCAAAGAAAAGTCCAATCCAATCATTTCTGTGTTTTGTTGAGATAGAAACCATTTATCCATGAAAACATTTCTTGGTCAGTGTCTTATAAGCATCTGTGACTCAATAAGCTGCATCCTTAAATCAGCTCGGAGAAAATGGTGTCTTTCTCCCAGCTTTCTCTTCTACTCTACCTCCATAATCTGATCAGGGATGAGTGTAAAATCTGATATATTTGTTCAATAACAATACCATACATAAAACACTTTTCTTGTGAGACTTAAGACACTTAAAGTCCATTGTGCCTGCCTCGGGGCGGCAGCACTAAATGCTGGTATTTATTCTTTCAGCCATTTTTATCTCCACTTTACGGTATTGGAACAACATCTTATGTAGGTGCCACATAAGCAGGCAAGCATGGGTGCAACTCAGCTGAAGTTGTACAGAGGTTCAATAAAACATTGAAAGGTTGCTGGTTTGATCCCGGGCTCCAAGTGCCCACATGTGGAAGGGACTTTGAGCAACATGTACACCCTTTTAACAAAAAGGTTGAAATGTTAGCATTTTTTAAATAAATCCGACCCTAATGAGACAGATCAGTGATTGTTAATCCAGCTCCAGTTCCTGCCAGTCTCATTAAAACAGTGCTATTGTCATATAGGAGCATAAAGATAAGCAGCAAGTGGCCCTTGACCAGTAATTTACAAAGTGCCGTGACAGATTCTGCTTCCCTCAGGCGTAGCGGGGATCTGCACCCGTCAGAGACACCTGCTGGAGGTAGGGGGGTGGCTGGTAGCAAGGAGGCCGCCCGGACTCCATGTAGATTGTGGAGGAAGTTAGGCTTTTGCGGTCTTTTTTCAAGATGTGTCTCCTCTGCCAACGACAGAGTAAGATTTCCACCTGCTCTCTGAAGAAGCTGGTGGTCAGGGTGTACAGGATGGGGTTCAGAGCGCTGTTGATGGGGAGGATGAGGATGACTACCCAGCTGGAGATGGTGCCTGAAGGAGAACAGGAGCACATTTTTGTTTTAATTCAGAATCAGAAATCTTCATTAATCCTGGGGCGAAATTAAACAAAAAAACTGTTGCTCTATTTTAGATTTATAAAAGAGACAGTACATAACACTAAACATTTTAAAATGTAAATGACAATATATGCAGTGGTGTATTCATATTAATAATGATAATAATGCTTAATGGGTAATAAACGTGAAAAGGTTAAAGACATTAAAAGACTGATGTGTAGCATGGTTATCTTCTGATGTGTACTGTACTGTAAGTGGTTAAAGGCCAAAGATTCATGAGGGAAGTCTTAAAACAGGTATAAATATCCTAAGTGGTTTAAAGGTCAAAGATGGGTTCAGGTAACAGTAAAACAGGGGAAAATGTGTTGTCTGGGGATGCAAAATGATTGAAAGAGAAGGATGAAAGGAATATAAAAAGGTTAGAAAACTGTCAAAAGAACTATAATTTCACGGGCAGACTAGGGGTGGAGGAATGTGAGAATTTGGTTAGGGATATTTTCAAATATCTGGAACAAACTACCAGAAACCTGCAGGTATCCAGGCTGAAGACTTTCTTTTTGCCGCTACTTTTAATTGAACTATTCACATCTTACACTGCACTGTAACCTTTATTCATGTACCTGTGTTATTCATGTTTTATTATCTTTGCTTTTTAATGTTTCTAATGTGTTTTATGCTCTTAATGTCTTTAATTTTTGTAAAGCACTTTGAATTGCCTTGTGTTGAAAAGTGCTATATAAATAAACTTGCCTTGCCTTATAATAAGGAAATGTAAACGTAATCTTAAACACTGTTCATTTTCTTACCGGGCATCTCCACATCCAATAGTGAGAAGACTTTGATCATAAAAATGGGGATCCAGCAGAGGGCATCAGAGAACACTATGAAGAAAAATCTGTTGGCCACCGCCACGTCTCTGTGCAGTCTGCTCCTCAAGTCTGTGGCATTGACTCCGGTTTTATAGATGGAGCAGAACATGCTGGAGTAAGAGAAGGCGATCACCAGGAAGGCCACCAGGTTCAGACCTAAACACAAGCACATGCTATTCACACACATGAACATAGAGGACGAAAACATACTCAGACATTTTACTTAAGTAGAACCGATATATCAATGTAAAAACAAAAATCTAAGTAAAAGTCCTGCATTCAAAATAGTTCGTTAGGAAATGAAATTCAAACAATTCAATGTATTGTAAATGCGTAAAAGGTTTCTGTGTTAAATGTAAAATCTTACTATGTTAAAGAACTCGTAACCACAGTTGTCAAATAAATGTAGTGGAGTAAATAGTACATTAATCTCTAAAGTAAAAGAAGTACCTCAAAGAAGTCCTTACAGTATATAGATTTGAGTAAATCTAAATGATTTCCCTACAGCACAAATATGAAAACATAGTTTCACAGGTGCATTAAATATAGAACTTAGAGCAATTTGCACTTGAATGTATGCATCTGTACACAGAGAAGCTAATAATGAATATCTCTTCCTGAATTAATTCACAGGGCCCAGTGATGCTGGCAACCTTAAATAGAGAATACCCCCAGTAATGTATTCATCACCATTGCCAGATTTCCATAGCCCTTCAGTGAGAACATAGAATAATAACAACCCTTACTAATCATGTATTGTTGATGGAGCCATGGTGTTTGCTGTGTAATCTAACGTGCAATCTTTTTGTAAGATGCTTCCTACACACGGATGAGTAACAATACACCTAAAATGATATCCGATGCTTCTGAAGATTTAAAAAAGCTCATATTCAGCTGTAAACCCTTACATAACCGTAATTGATCAGATGTACAGTAAAGCTCAGTATGTTCTGCAGTGATCAGTGATTTATCCTTGGGGAATGAATATTTTATTAGATTTGGTTGCAGAAAGAATCCTCCTAAATTTAGACTACTAAACACAAAAAACCTGCTACCAATCAGTATTCTACGCATAATGAGCTTCCGTGAAAAATTGCACAATTTTAATCTTCAATTTACCCAGAAAAATCCCTGTTGAATATCCTTTGGCGGTAGGTTTTTCTTGCCTGTCAGAGTGCAGGGGAAAGCAGACCCCATTACGTCCATAGTAGTTTCCAAAGACGTCTTCATTCATTAGGGGCACAGCCGCAATTATAAACCCCAGGAGCCAGATAGAGGCCAGGACCACCTTGCAGCAGGACGAAAAAAACATATCGTTAGGATTTCTGACAGCAGGGCTCCTCAAAGCAATATAAAAAGGATTAAAGCATTCATAGGATTTGGCTTTCTCACAGAGACACTGACAGGCAGACTTACATCGAGGATGTTAAGCAAAAGTTTATCGCAGCTAGATTTGGCAAGATTTAGCTGACAATAGATGGCAATAGTTCATGATTAGATATCTATAGCTGCTAAGGAAAGGAAGTGACTGGGGACCCAGAATGTAAACATCAAATGTTCTGCCTCAAGTAAAGCTTTTTTATACTGCTTTAATGCTTTTTATTTATTTTTGACTTTTTATTTTGTATTTTTATTTGTTTAGTCACGCTGTTGGAAGAGGTTGAGCTGAAACAAAAGGAAGAAGTATTCACTTATGTTTCCTTCCTAAGGGGTAAGATTGTCTCAGATTAGCGGGTGTTCTCATGAGAATCTTCTTCAATCTTTTAATATCCAACTTGGTAATTAGGGTCACGGGTCAACTGACAGCATATCCCTGCAGCTAAATTGAATTTATTGCAGTGTCATCTGTAAAGGGTTTTGCAATCATTTAAAATGAAAGCTTGCGTTGCGAACCCTCTGTGACCCAAAGCTGAAAAGCTGCACCTCGACACTTTAAACTTTCCAGGCTCTCTACCTTGCTGTAATTAGGATCTGCTCTGCTGTATAATGAGACTATTTCTACTTGCAAGTACAGCAAAGGTCGAGGAGTATTTCATACTTAGTGCTCCAGCTCAGCAGTCCCCCATAATTTGTTATAGGATGATTAAAGGTCCCATGACATGCTTTTCCGGTTATTACCTGTCCCCTTGTGTGATATGTAGCTTTTTATGCATGTAACGGTCTGCAATGTCACAAACCCTCAAAGTAAACCCTGTAGCGAGTACAATTCTGACCTGTCTATGCTGCCCCAGAACGCCTTGTTGGAGATTTTTCTATTTCCATTTTTTTCTTCCTGGTCACAGTGACGTAACGACGACCAAATAGACCAATTGGTCCAAATGGACCAATCCGTGGAGCTCCTCACACAGCCTTATCTTTTCTCAGCCACGCTACTCCGCGGAGTTTCGCCGGCACACACACTCACTCAGCCTTATCTTTTCTCAGGCTGTGAGTTTGTGGCGAACTGTGTGGCGAACAGCCTGGCTGTGAGTGTGTGTGTGTGCTCAGGCTTAGTTCCGCGATGTCTCGCTGTCTCGCAGACCCCACGCAGCAACCAGGAAACGACACCAGTAATACAGCTCACACTGTCCGCTCCTCGAGCCTAAAAGCAGCGAGCAGAGAGCCCCGCAACGTCCCGCCAACACGGCACCCAGACCCCACGCAGCATTCTCATCTGTTTGTCATTACTGGTGTCATTTTCTGGTTGCTAACAAACGCCATTGTAACACATAATCACTGATGTTTCGCTGTAACGGTGGTGGACTCATCAGAACAGAGTGGGCGAGCTGACCAATCAGAGCACAGTGGGCTTATAGGGAGGGGGGGGGGGCAGGAGCTCCAACAAGCCGTTTAGGACAGAGAGTGAATACACATACTATACAGCAGGGGTCGGAAACCCCTGGCATGGTGGCACTGGTAACCAGTGGCACACTAGAAATAAGTGGAATAAGTGTGCAAAATATTAAAATTAAATTTTCGGATCCTGAACGAGACCGCCGCCAGGGCGCGTCTCCCCGTTACCTACAGAAGGAAGGCATGCACGTAACGCAGCCCCGCTCTCTTTAACTCCAACTTTCTGCCGCTTTCCTCCGTGGTGCAGTGCTGATCATTTCACCACAGAGGAAAGCACTTCACAAATTGCAGTACCCCTAAGGAGCTGTACAAATACCGCAGTTTTTGCGTGGCTGTGTCTTTAGTTGATCTGCTCATCTCTCATCTAAATAATATGCTACAAAGGGGCGGACTGGCCATCTGTGTGTTCTGGAGAATCACAGAACAGACGATCGTCCTTATTATTATGCCGTTTAAACCAATTATTTAAATTTGTTTGTTAAATTCGGCATCATGTAAGTTGCGCTGACAGGTCCACACACTGCTGCCCCGCAGCGAGGCTCCCCCCGCCCTCCTGTTGACAGTTCACGAGCGTCGAGCTCCTCACCCCCCGTTGATAATTCACGATCGTCTGCACGCTGATAACAATTTTTTTTTTTAATGGCACTTCATATCAAAAAGGTTGCCGACCCCTGCTATATAGAGATGCTGTATGAGAAACCAATGGGATTTTGGAACATTGAACAATGTAAATCTATTCTAGTAGACCTCAACAATGGAATTATGATCGGTAGAAATGGCCATGTCATGGGACCTTTAAGTCTACTTTCAAGAGAACATTTCTTTCTTCAGAATTTCCCACATTCCACAGCATAAGTGAGCAGTAAAGTCCTAAATAAAACAGCACAAACAACAATAATGACCCAATCAAATGAATGCTCACCACAGTCTGAAGTTTGCCCGGGCGCAGATTGCTGAAGGGGAAGACAATGACCAAGAACCTTTCTAGAGTCAGGTAGGTGAGGAGGAGAACAGACACCTGAGGGGAAACACTCACTATGAATCCTCAAGGAACAGCTCCTAAACATAGACTGTATAAGAAAGGTTTTAACAATTTTCACAGAGCATAACATACACTTTAAGATGGATTTCTTTCCTTCCAGACATTGGGTTAGGTGAAATTACATAATAGAAGATTGGAGAGGCTAGAACCGGCGTCAGGAAAATAATCACACTGTATGCTAATGCAGTCTCAAGCAAGGACTCATTCAAATATCGGGTTTCGCATTCAAGTGCTTTTGTTTAAGCAATTTGAGACTTAAAGGTGGGGTATGTAATTTTGGAGAAACCAGCTCGAGTGCGCTAGAATTTGAAAGCACACAACCGGAAAAAATCTGCCTCTTCCTTCAGACTTCAGTACAGAGCCCCTCCTCCAACACACACGAACGTGCACATGACCAATGAGGGCACGAGATAAGTTTGTGCACAGATGAAAGGCTGACAGGCAGGTAGGCCATCCAGTTATTTTAGCCGGGCCGGCTAAAATAATTGGTCGTGCTTTTTACAGCACCACGGCTTCCACAGATGACATTTTGTTATGTATTTATTGTCAAAGCATTTCATATATTCATTGCTATCGGGATGTTAAGAGCATTCCATGGAATATAACAAAAAGTGTTTCTGAAGTGAATTACATACCCCACCTTTAATCAGTCAGCTAAAGCAATCTCTTTATTGACAACAAGTCACGCCCATAACAAACATAACCTTCACAGTTGTTTACACCTCGTCTCAGTATTTCTAACAATTTGGCTCTTGAATCAAAGTTTTTATTTGAAGTGATCAATAGTCAATAGGGTCTGATAAGTGCAAATTCATTGGTATATCATTATTCTCTGCTCATTGGAAAACTGTTATTTATAAATCCACTATTTTAAACATTTGTACATGACATTTGAGGTCAGTTAAGAAAGCACAGATCCAATCAGGTATCGACCAATGAGAAAAATATAAAAAGGTGCTCTTTGTAGTTATCTAACATTCCGTTATCTTGTGTCCTAAGTGTCCTTCCACATAAATCATATGCAAAGAAACTGTTTTAGTATTTTAAGCAGTACAGTTAACATCCATGTTTGCTTTTGTTGTCACATCCAAGCTCACATCCTTGTGTTTGTGCAAAAACAGGGAACTGCTTAGAAAAAACATTCCTCTATACTGTAGCATTACTAGTAGATAAAAACTACTAAAGTAAATTTCACTATACAAATCAAATTCATGCAATCATGGCCGTCTGCCTATTGTAGCATTAGTATTATGAGATGAAAAGTCAGTTTGATGCATCTCGTGTTAGTCAGAAAGAACACAGGGGCGAGTTATATTGAGCATGCATAGGCTCGTAAATGTCACTCCCTGTCAGCATATAAAACTATGGGCAGAATATATTGTTAATCAAATGGTCCCTCCCTCAGCCAAACTGCAAGAAGTGGCAGGATACTGGGCTGATAAGATGCTGTCAGCAGCAGCGGCTCACATGAAATCAGGGGAAAATAATTGGTAATAGCATCTTCAACAAGAAAATATATATATATGCGATATGTATTGCAGTGAATTCAGTTAGTTGAATTGTTCATTTCACACAGCGGGATGGTAATCTATTATAATTTACCTCTGAGGAGAGCATGGCCAGGAATCCAATGGTCCGACACTCAACACTCTCCATCCAGATCAGGGCGTTACGATTGTACTGACCGCGGAATTTCACATCAAACACTCCAACAAAAAACAGGTACACACCCATGAGGCAGTCTGCACCTGAAAGATAAGAGACAGTGACCAACGCCAGTCTGTTTAGAGAGAGGGAAGCTCTGTTTGAGTCCAGCTTCTGGCAGACCAATGATTTCTCATTAATTTTCACAACCCAGAAATACTTCCTACCCTCCAGAGCTTGAAGGAGTAATCACTTGGATGGGACACAAGCATCTGTCTAAATGTGGCTTGTAAAATCCGCTCTAATCACTGTTAAACATGTTCTGTCTTTTGTAATTGATTGCATTTGATTTATACAGCAAACCCGTCTAATGTGCAATTAATTGTTGGAATATGACTTATAATGCTGGTTATTAAAAAAATGTATCTTGATACCACCTCCCGACCTTTTTAAAGCAGAATGTATACATCATTTTCACTGTGTAATCTTCTCAAAGATATTAATATGAAACGTACATTTATCTCACTTAGGGTGGTTTACTTGACCTGAAGATATTTACTTTAAGATCAATATTTAAATATGTATTATTTTGAACGTTACAATCCAGTAATCTTTGGCATAAGGTTTGCTACTATGGTTTTAAATACATACACTTAATATATCCAACCCATATCTTCCTCTTCTTGTAGGATGTTCTACAACACAAGATGTCGCGGAATAAAAAAGTGGAACAAAAAGTGAATCGCTGGAACAACGATGGATCCATTTCCCGGCCTTCAATCTTATGATAATCACTCCTAAAGCTCCAACGGCTCATATTTTATGCTCAGTATCTTCTTCTTTTTCTGGTATAGAAAACCTCCAGAGTATTCATAAAGTTTGACAGGATCATCTTTACCCGTTACTTCTTTAGAAGTATCTTTGACATTTAATGACATGTCTCCCTGCAGGCATTTTGACATAAAGTGTCCTTACACCAGAAATAGCTGATCCATTGGCTTCTATATACTGCAGCAGCAGACTCTCCTGCCTGTGTGTGACCAGTGTGATCAGGCCAACATGTCCTCATGCAACTTCATTTGTTTTTCCTGCATCGATTATGGAAATGTTAGTGACACCGAGCACCTTCCATCCTCCAAGGTGCAGTCTTTCTCTACCTGTGGCCTCATTTCCTCACTGATTATCAATATGTATAAAATTGCAGACAAACTTGCACATTTACTCTCCTACCAATCTCAATTAGATCCCTGCACACTTCGCTTTGAGTGTTGACCTTCAAGACTCTCGATCAGCCTTCGCTTATTTAATATTGAAGTATTTGCCCCTCAGGGTGATAAAAAGATTTACTGCAATTCTTTTTTCCACTTTGCTGAAAAAAAAGGTATACGAACATTGATTCCCCGGTTGGATGATAATTTTTATGATTAAGATCAGCTTTTTTAGCAGTGGGATTTATTTTTATTTTACTAGTATTTGTCTATGTGTGTATTTTGCACTGTTGTCGTGTGGTAACCACAGGGTATTCTTTCATTTGGGGGGCATATACGTGACAGGAGAGCGGTGTGGTTACTCACAGCAGAGGACCTTGATGCAGGCAGCGTGCAGGTTGTTCTCCGCTCGTATCAGTGACCTCATGCAGATGACAAAGAGGTTTCCGAAGCAGGTAATGAAGGCCATCACCCAGACAGACACCCGTAGCACTACGTTAGCCAGCAGGTCCTCAAAGGACGAGATGCCGTCCGTGTTGGGCTTACAGGACCTGACATGAGGTGCATAGGAGCAATACTGGAACGTCTTGAAGTAGCTGGCAGAGAAAAGGAGCATATAAAAAAAGAAAGTGGAAGCAGAAGAAACGGGGGAGAAAGACAGAGAGTTAGACAAACAATGACACAGAGGAAACAAAATGATATCATGTTGTGTCAATTAACATAATTGATCCTAGCACAGTCTGTAGTTCTTACATGTGGGAGAGGTTCTTCATAGGCAGAAACATCTTCGTCTGAATTCCTGGGATCTCTATCCCCTCCAGAGCCCTAGAGAAAACGCAGCATTTTGCACCACCGAACAGGATGCAGCAAGAAGTTGTGTGTGTGTGTGTGTGAGTCAGTGTGTGTGTCTGTGTTGTGTGTGTTTTCTCACAGGGATTGAAGATGTGTCAGGTGGTTGAAGTGGCTGGGATGAATGTGGAGAAGGGGATTGTGGGAGATGTTTCTGTAACAAGAAACAGAGTATGACAGCGTTAATAAATCCTGGCTGAAAGTTTATGTGGCTGTATAACAGTAAAATCCAGATGTTATACGTCTTTTATGACAGGAAAACCTGTTGTTTTCAGACCTGCTCCACAGTGAAACAACGAAAACCCCAAGGAAGGGGTTGTCTCAGTGGATTGCTTGATAAAGATTACGGGTTGTTTTTCAGTTTCAGATGAAGGAAAAGGACAGTTTAGACTGTTTTACAAATAGGTCTGAGTAAACCGTCCATTGCAAGACAAAAATAACAAGTTATTGTTGTTAGGAGTGTAACCTTGATGACATTATCAAGCCGGCAGATCAAACGGATGTTAAGTTATTCTCACAGAATATGAAAAAAACCTGTGCCATCAACCCATCGGTATGAACATTTTAACAGCATTTTGAAAGCTTTACAACACATACTTCAAAAGAAAAACGTAATCAATGTCATTCAAACATATCTGGTTATCTTATACCGTGCAAATCCCGTATATTAAATCAAATATTGGCCTCCAGCATTAAAAAAACTAAACCTGGAGGTGCAGACTGTCCTTAATATCTGTATTTCAGTTCTCCCAGTTCAGATTGGAACTTGGAAAATATTGTTACACAAGAATCTTACGGAGAGTGGGATTGCTTCTCCTGTTGGTGAACAACCTTGGTTTTGCTGTGTGTGTGTGTGTGTGTGTGTGTGTGTGTGTGTGTGTGTGTGTGTGTGTGTGTGTGTGTGTGTGTGTGTGTGTGTGTGTGTGTGTGTGTGTGTGTGTGTGTGTGTGTGTGTGTGTGTGTGTTGTGTGTGTGTGTGTGTCTGTCTGTCTGTCTGTCTGTCTGTCTGTCCTGTCTGTCTGTCTGTCTGTCTGTCTGTCTGTCTGTCTGTCTGTCTGTCTGTCTGTCTGTCATCATTATCTGCTGGAACATAATATTCCGGGGGGAATTTTACGGCATGTCCTCCTTGCTGGGAAGTTGTAAAACTGAGTTGTACCATGTCATTATTTTTGAAAGAGTAGATCCCACGCCACATTGAAAAAATGTGCTAAATGGAAGTCATGCAATAAAAAGTTCTTTGATGAGCTTGCCAGAATTATATTTTAATTTACACCTGGGAATTTTTAAAGTAGACTGAAACAGACAGCGGCACAGTTTATAACTTTAGGCATCATTACTCTTTACTTCACAATAGCATTATTCATGAGCGGTACTCTGACCGGCAGTATCGCTGGTCCTGTCCGCTCCTTTCAAAAAGGGGAACATTTCGTTCAAAGAGGACATACTGAAAATGATGCAGCTCTTTTCAATTCTTACAAAAAATACATTTAGCAAAAATGTTAAAGCAGTAAAATCAGAAGTATGAGTGACACGGTTTTAATGTATGAAGAGGAACAGACGCCATGTTCCAAGACAGCTTCCATTTATTCCAGTCAGACCACAAGGTTAACATATCCCATTATAAGTGAAAGTCCTGCTGGGAAAAGGTTATTTAAAGTATGTAAATAATGTGTGTAAATGTACTCTAAAATGTATTTAATGCAGAAAAATGCCCATGCGAGTGTTGATCCCTTATATAGTATAACATTTTTAATAATGATGCAGTAATATGTACTCTAAGCAGCATTTTACTATTTTAAATACTCCAAACACTGTTGGCGAGTTTAAATAATAAAAACTCATCATGAGCTGATTTAGAATGTAAAGCCTTGTTCCCAAGATGAGCAGTAAAAATAATTATTGGACGAGAAGTATAATGACTCGGCCAATTCTCCATGGCTTTAAAACTTTTGGTTTAGTTTAGTTTTTACAACAATTTATTATTGTATTCTCCATAAAACTGTCTTTAATTCTCTAGGTTTATTTCCCATGGGAGGCATTAATAGTCCGACAAAATCATGTCTTCTAAATGTAATCTTAAAGCATTAGGTCCCCAAAGTGATTTTTCTACATGTAATACTTAATATCATAACTCCCTCATGTCCTCCTCACATTACACACCTTTCCTGGCAGTCAGACTATCAGTTACTCACAGTTTCAGGAGGGACTTGGAGAGGCTCTTAAAAGTGTTTTTCGGCAACTCCCTGATCTTGTTGCTGGACAGATTTCTAAACACAGAGGAGAGGCAGTCATTCAAAAAAAAAGGGAAATAAATTGTTATGGACAAAAGCAAAATGATTCACAAACATGTGTTTCTTGTTTAAACTCAGATAGTGTAAAGCGTAGACCAAGGCACAGACGTTTAAGGGATTGTTCTTTTTCTACTCAACTGTCTTTCCTGATTTAACATTTTTTTTATATAATAGTAAATAGCAAATGATCATATTAATGAAAATTGCAAATCATTTGAGCTTTTCTTTCCAAACAGAGATTAATCTAAGCACCAAATTCATCCATTTATCTAATGTCATTATTTTGTTAAAATAAACTAATCCCAGCCGAACAAAACTGATGGTTTTCTAACACTGCTTCATTAAATCTCCATTATCTTCATTATTAGGCAACACGTGTACCCAGTTTTCTTTTGAACGCCTTAATCACTTACAGGCTGAAAATCCTACTTTAATATTTATTCTGGAGTGGGTTTAAACCAATTATGAATGTATTTATTCAACAGGCTGCTTTCTTATACTTCATCCAAGTATCAAAACAATCAAACAGTTGTTTCAAGCTGCTATTTAATGTAATAAAACTATGAGATATTATTATCTAATCAACCAATCCAGACATTCACATCTGATATTGCAATAATGAGTTGTTGTTTGATAATTCAATGTCAAACAAGACTTTTATGAAATGTTTGGAGCTGATAAACCTCTGCTGATGGGATTAGAAATTATTAACATTTTAGTCAGGCTGTAATAAAATATTCTCAATCAGCAACAAGAAACTCGACCAAAGCATTACATATTCACGAATAGGCATTAAATTCTACCGAAACAAAGTGATTTATTAGACTAACCACCATTTATTCATGATTATCGGATGTAATTTGTTATTAACTCAATTAATTATAGGATTATAATGAGACAGCTGCTTTACTCACAGGTCAGCCAGTTTCCACAGAGACTGGAAAGTGTTTTCAGGAATTCTTCGGATCCTGTTGTCCATCAGAATTCTGGAAAGGACAGAGCACATGTAAGAACATTTGTGCAAAGCGGTGATTCAATCCCTCTGGCGAATCACTGTTGGGAATGAAGGTTAACCTCAATCATTGCAGAATCAGAGTTTCTGACTAGCAGTTCAGAGCAACACTCCACTAATACTGAATCAATTCTCTTTGTCTTGTACAGCTCTGCCTGAAAAGGCAAGATCAAAAACAAAGATAAGAGACAAACCAGAGCTTTAACTTCTAAGACTGTGTGACAAGTGTGATGGAAACTTCTGAAGCAATGGAGATAGGACTCAGAGAGACACGGGGAGAGCAGGTACTTTGATGGCAAACACTGATGGTTTATTTGGAGCTTCGGCCGGAGAATTCACAAGACATGTGCTGCAGCCACGAGGTGACACAGCGGTTGCTAAACCAATTCTGAAGATCTTTACCCCAGTCCCATGTATTTAGCTAGTTCTGAGAGAATAATCAACCTTGTGCATAACAAGATAAAACTACTGTAACACATCAGCTGACGCCAACAGGCAGGAACAGGGAGACAAAACACTGAGAGCAGCCCAAGGTTGCAGGCCTGTGCTCAACGGGGCAGTACAAACTGATAAACTGGGTCAAATTTATGGGCCTATGAAAATAGTTCCCCAACAACAAGATTGACATGACACAAAGTGGAGCTGGGCTTACACACTGCCCAGAACTTCTTACAAGGCACAGCAGTTTTTATCTGACTTTAATCTTTTTTATTCTATTATAGTTGTAAAAGCTTATTTAGTAATCATAGACAAGGTGAACCATGATAACAGATACAAACAGAGAGGCAGGAACGAGCACAGATCGTAAATCAACGAAGAGGAAAACAGCATCAGATTCAGATCCTCTCTCCAAGACTGTCCGTGTGGCGAAAGCATTCTTTACAAATATTTAAAAGTACAAATCCAGTGAGGTTCAAAGTGTGTCCTATACATTAAGTGGATTTCTTTGTATGTTGTCAGTTGAATGATGGAGAATTCTTCATTTTGTTCCTTGCCTCAGGTCTAGTCTTCATGCCGTTATCCCTGTTTGATGCCAGTCATTTATGTATACTTTAACAGTCAGACTTTTTCTTTAATGTCCAGGTAGTTTAGTCACGTTGAGGCACAGGTTAATTTGTTATGAAAATAATGGATTTATACGAAAAACCAACTTTGATTGATGCAATTCCCATCTTTCTGAGAAAATGTCCTCAGTGTGCAGCTGTTTTCTGTTACGTTAGAAAATTGCCTTCTCTTCAATCACAAAGGCAATTCAATTGTTCAGTTTGAAGACCAGAATATAAATTGTACTTGTTGAAATAGTTTTCATAACTCTGTTCTCATAACTCAAAGTTTCTACTCTTCTACTGACAATAATTAATAGTTTTATATTAATTATTGATATCTAGTTATGTTTATTCCATTTATTTGCCAGGGACCATTCTGTATAAAACTAAATGCATCTAACATAAGAGATGATTATACCAGATTTGGCTGCTGTAATTTCCATGATCTAAGCAAACGTTAATGCAACTAATTCAATAACTCTTGACAACTGAATTTAAGAATATAATAAAATACATATAAATATCAAAACATACACCCTAAACTATAAACTATTTACCCACCTCTCCAAGATGCAGAAAATCAGTATGTCTTTTAAAATACACACACATGCGTGCATTGTGCTTATTGTTTCTGAGCTACATTGATGTAGACGAGGCTTAATAATAATAATAATAAATGGAATTTATAAAGCGCCTTTCACGGGACCCAAGGTCGCTGTACATGGTGGACAGACAAAACAAAACAGACAATGAGGAGCGAACAAAACAAGACAAAATAAAATAAAATAAAATAAAGGAAGCCGGGGGACCAGGAAAGGACTAGGGTCCGAAGGCCATGGTGAACAGGTGCGTTTTTAGTGAGGATTTGAAGATGTCCAGTGAGGCAGCGTTCCGGATCTCAGGAGGAGGCTTGTTTCTCACAGTCAGTTTGTTGACATCCTAGAAAACATATTGAAGTCTTTACATGCTTCCTAACTTTAAGAGAGCCTGTTCCATTCATTAACTCACAAAAGGTTTGCTGTTCTCCCTTGAGTCGGCAGTAATTCGATGTCGACATAATTGTAAGAGTGAAGGTGAGGGGTGTGTGTGTGTGTGTGTGTGTGTGTGTGTGTGTGTGTGTGTGTGTGTGTGTGTGTGTGTGTGTGTGTGTGTGTGTGTGTGTGTGTGTGTGTGTGTGTGTGTGTGTGTGTGTGTGTGTGTGTGTGAAACTAAAATAGAAATCAGAACTCACTGTTCAAATGCCATCGGTGTGCCTTGGTAATTGTAACTTTAATTTAATAGAAATGAAAGCTGGCTGAGCTACATATGATGCAGTACCCTTGAATTAGAAGATATATAAAATATAAAACAGATCAGGAACATTAAAACCAGATGGTGTTTATGCACTCCTCAGTCTTTAGGACTATGCTGAGCTTCTAAGGGTTAATAAAACACCAAACGGATCATTTACCTAGACTGATGATACTCCTAAAGACACAATGGTTTTTAATATTGAAGCAGGGGTCTGCCATATCAAACTTTTGAACAAATAACCTGAATGTGATTAAAAAAAAGGTTGCTTCCAAATGTGTCTTTTGGGGGATTAATTAACTAAAATGACTGTGCAAACAGAGAAGAAAAAAACGTGTTATATTGAATATAGCTAAAGGGGAAATAAATAAATTAAAAAAACACAATGTTTACTTCTGGAGGATTTGTTTTATATAGAGTCTAGACAATATGACATCATTGCTGTAATGTCTGATGTGGCTACAATAATGACTCCAAGAAGGGATTGTTTCAAGCCGTTATAAACTAGGATATACTCACAGAACTTCAAGCTTGCTGCAGGACTTCAAGATTGAGTGGTTGAGAGTTTGAATCTGGTTTCCTTCAAGATCCCTGTGAGCAGAACAAAAAGGGAGGGGGGGACATGTTGTTTAAACTTTACAAAACACATATCGTCTTCACATGTGAAAAAAATTCTAAATGAGCACAAGAATAGTAATAAAATATAACATTTGTCTGGTGTTTTGGGGTTAGAATAATATAACATAACCTTGTATTGTTGCAAAAATTAGATATTTTTTACTACTTGCACTTTGTTGTTTATAGTGTATGTGTTGTTGTACTGTGCACCAGAATTGCCATCTGGTGACAATAAAGCTTTATTGAATTGAAAAGGGAAAACAATAAGGAGACAGGTTGGTATTTAAAGAGGGGAATTGGTATGAATGCTGATTGACTGATTAACATTTACAGATGTGGACAAGGTCATTCTTAGTGTCAGACTCATCCTTCATCTCACTTGCTGACAAACATTGTTCAATCTCATCTCATCCACTTATTGTCAGCAATTCGTCGGCCCCCTGTCACCTCTGTCTACCATTCGCTTTTTTCCGTAATCACAAAAGCACAAGCACACACATACTGATAAAGTATTTAAAGAGCAGATGTGTACTGAGTCACACACATGCACTACACACCTGCTCACACACAAGCACACTGTCAGAGCAGACTCACAGCCAGTCCAAGGCAGGCATGTGTTGACAGAAGCTGGGGTGCGGGAGCTGCTGCAGCGCGGTGCCCACCATGGATCTGACAAAAGAAGGAAAACATATTTATTTTTCAAAACAGAAAATTGGACACCCTCAGCGGGGGGGTTCCCATCGTTACGGAGCGGAGGAGATGCACTGTTGCTTTGTATAACTGGAAACAAAACATGTGTGACGCCTTGTGAAACACTAGTGTTGAAAATATAAATAAAAAAATATCATTAATTCACATCTGTTAGTGTAGTGACAAAGGCAGTATTTAATAAAGCATCAAGTATCTACAGTAGGAACAGTAGTGCATATATAAACTACTTATTGTAATCACTAGTTGCATGATTACTGCCATTTTTAAATCTGTACTGTGGTTTTGATTGTGTTTCTTTCACTCTCCCTTGATTTCCCTTGATTTCTACTTTTAGATACTTGAAACGTGCTTGAGATGAATTGAACTATCAGTGTTCTAATTTTTAATACCATTACATTTCATGGCAAAGTCACAATGTGTTCCTGGCAGCGACGTGCACTCAGTGGAGGCAGGGGAGGCAGGGGAGGCAGAGCCTCACCTGTCATACTCCAATGTAACGGAAAAACAACTAAAGAAAAACGAAATAGTAATAATAATAAAATGTCTCCACTGATCTGTGTTGTAAATGTGATTTATGTATGATTCTAATCGCTTTTTATAGTCAAAATCAGCAAATTTGCAGAGCTCCGCTACGGGAGCGATGACAAGTGAGGCAGGGGCGTGCTCTGCCTCTCATAAGCCCACAGTAACTTGCTGGAGCGCGGGCACTAATTTAGCGCGGCCACTTATTTTGTGAGCGCGCTCAGGCCAGTTACTGTGGGGTGAGGTGAGGCACAGATGAGCCCTGCCTCACCTCAGAATGCGTCACCCCACAGAAACTGGCTGGAAAGCGGGCCCTAAGCGCATGCCTGTTACCATCTCACTGTAGGTCACCAATGTAATGTATGTAGATCCCTTTATTACATTTATCCTCGCCATCCATAGTCTCTAAATAACTTATTTCACGTATATATGATATTTAGGCTCGCTGGTCTCAACGGCAATGAAAATGCACCAGGGGAGGCAGCCATAACCTCTGCCGCACTGAAGGGGGCGCACGTGAGCCCACAGGTTCTTGTTGCTACTGTAATTCTACGCAGAGACGGTAGACGTAACAACAAACTAGACTTTTGAAAATACAGGAAGATAAGGAGGACTTTTACAAAAAAGTAATAGAGATTGTTGTCCAGAAGGATAGCATGGACTTCATCTTCAAGTCAAGGTAAGACCACATTTGTAATGAAAATGGGATCTTACTAAGAAACAACAATCCAATATTTAGATTTTGGGTATCCTTTTGTTGATCGGTCTATTTAAAATGAATCGAAGCATCAGACTAAAAAAGCTTTTGAAAATAACCGAATATTTCGATTAAGGTCAAAATATAATATTTGTAAATCTGACTCAGTGCCTCACCAGCCATGAACCTCACCGCACGTCACTGGTTCCTGGCATGATGGAGTTTCTGAGAAGGGACTGATTTCTCCAACATCTTTGACTTCAGAGTTGGCAGGCAAACGTGCATCACGAGTCCATATACAACTCTGTGAAGGACGTTATTTTAACGATTTGTTGGTTTGTGTATGTGTCAGCAAGGTTATGTAAAAAAATACTTTCCTGATTTAAATATTTGATGTAGTGTTCTCAGGATAATATCACATGCTCACAAATGATTTATCAAACAACAGTGGATTAAATAAATAATAAATGGTTCACTGTAGTTTGAAGTCATTTTTTACATTTCTGCAAGTATACTGAAATGAATATAAATGTCTAATCATTGGAAGGTAAGAAATCAGAACAAAAGCCTTGGATTTAAAAAATAGTCAGCTCTTAATGCAAGAACACGATTAGTAGTTTAAAGGTAACATCAAACCCTTCTCAGGAGCCTTTAATCAAATGCAGTTCAATCTCCTAGCACTGTGAGGGTTAAAGTAAAGTCAGTTTTCAAAGAAGAAACTTTGATATTTCGTGGGGTAAAACTTCAGACAGATGAGAGACTGAGCAGAGACCCGTGACTGCAGTTCATCCCAGATGGATGAAGAAGCAAAGAGACAGACATATGTTCACTTCTCTGAGAGTTACTCCAAGGAGGTAAAAAAAGATCTTTGAATGAGTCAGGCAGAGTGAGTGCACATTTAAACAAAGCTTTTATCTGTCATGCGTCAACATTAAAGGAGGTGTTTATTGAAATAGATACCCGTTTAGGGAAGACAAGAAAAATAGAGAGAGATTAAGGAGGGATGAAGCAGAGACGCAGAGGACAGCCTTAAAGGGCCCATGTCATGGCCATTTCCACTGATCATAATTACATTGTTGAGGTATACTAAAATAGATTTATACTGTGCAATTTTCCAAACTCACATTGGTTTCGCATACAGCATCTCTGTCAAGCATGTGTATTCAGCAGTATTCACTTTCTCCACTAAACGACTCGTTGGAGCTCTTGCCCCCCCCTCCCTGTGAGCCTAGTGTGCTCCGATTGGTCAGCTCGGCCACTCGTTCTGATTAGTCAACCACCAGAGAGGCCATGTCTAACAGTGCTTTTCCCGGCTGCTCTCAGCGTAACATCAGTCTTATCATGGCGTCGGCACAGCCGTATATTTTATATACATATATATTTTTAACTGTTGTTATAGAAGAGTGTGACGGCCCCAGGGCCTTTGTCTTACGATGGGGTGGAGCTGAAGAGGCTAATCAGCACGATCACGGACACCTCCGGACACTACGGCCCCAGTCTCTCTCCAAAGCGGCTGCGGGAAGACTCTGCGATCCTCTCAACCACCTATTTCTCCATTTACCACAATAAATGTGCCGTGGTTTTGTAAACTCGTGTATGTCTCCTTGTCTTTGTGGCCTACGAGCCGCTCATAACAAAGAGTAAGTTATTTTTACCCGTTATAAACTACTACTGTTTGATGAGAAATCAAATCATGGTTTGCTATATATGAATTCAGGGAAGAAAGGATAGGCCTACTAAGTATTTCCATTAAACTTTATTTTTAGAAATGTACAAAATGAACATAAATATACATATATACACGGTATATCATCCATTCCTCCTCCTTGCATCTTGCCTGCGCACAGTCGGTGCGGTGCCTTTTAGCACGACGCCTCAGTAGTAGTAGAAGTGCCTTTTAGCACGTCATGGATTGTCCGCCAGGATCTGGCTGGACGAAATCAAATGCAAATCACAAAATATTAGAGAAACTTAGTTGTTTTAGATTCGTTAGTAGTAGTTGTGTAATGAACAGCTTGCCTGCTAATATGCTAACCTAGCTTTGTTTACCTTGGTAGCTAACACGATATGAACGTTAGCTTGGAGGAAAGGCAACTATAATGCAGTGTAATAAAACTACTATGAACAAAAGCTAGTGGTTCATATTAGGCTAGCAATAACGTGTTTATAATTGCAATCGTATACGGGTATTCTGCTACCATACAATGTAACTTGCATGAATACATTGTTTTGCGCTAGCATACAGCTAGCCTCGTTAGCTACATGCAGTATATGTACGGTCACAATGTACGGTAAATCACAGTACAGTATACTGTATGAGTATTCCGTGTGTGTGAATGCAGACATTCTCCTGCTATGAGATACATGTATGCAAGGCCATCTGCTGATATTAGAGTTGATATATGGAAACTCTAGCAACTTAGTTAGCACAGTTAGCACTGTGTCAATGGCTTAGCAGTCCAACACAGTTTACACATTTAAACAGTCTTGTTTGATAAATACACAAATAACAATGCAAACTTACAGGTTGTATACCCAGATCTTCCCCTGCTCCAAACGGTCCAAACAAGCTGTGCATATCCGGCCTCAAACTGGGCAATGTTTTGGAAGCTTTCGTCTGTGAAATGCCGGTTCTTCCGAACCTCTGGAGGAGGAACACGCCGCTGCTGGTGTGGCCATAGCTCTTCGGGATTGGTCCATTTCGTTCCGGGTACCGCATGACATCAGGCGGTACCCGGAACTAAATGGAAGACTCAAATGGGCAGTGACGTATCTCCAACGAGGCGTTTTGGGGAGGTATTTTCTGTGTTAGAGTTTTACTCGCTACAGGGTGTACTTTGAGGGTTTTGACTCTGCACACCGTTTACATGCATAAAAACCTTCATAACACACAAGGGGACGGGTAATAACCGGAAAAGCATGACATGGGAGCTTTAAGGCTTTCTCACCGGGAACAAAGACCTGGAGAACAATACTGCAATCTTGCCATTCTATTAAGAAGAAGTGCCAGGGCGGTTTTAAGGTCAGTGAAGCAGTTACTGAAATGGAGAGGATGGAAGAATAACAAGTGAAGTCAGAGACAAAAGAGTGAGGTGACATGTCAGGATGGAAACAAGCCCTTTTGTTAAAAAAAACAAGGTGTGTTTTTTGAGAAAAAGCATATGGCCCATGAAATGGCAAACAATCGTAAGACCTCACTGACCCTCATTACTTGACTGCTGTTATAACACAAAGACATGACTGATTATGAAATGAAGTGTGAAATGTAATCACAGAGTACAACTAAACAGACATTTAACATGCGTAAAGCTCTTGTCCTGCATACTCACATGTTTAAATAAGATAAGTTCGTCAAATGAAGGTGGTTTACATTTAAAAATGCCCATAATATTAATATTCAATTTGGTAAGTTGAGAGACAGTATGTTATTATAACCATTAGACATAAAAATGTTTATTTTCCCATGTGGAGTTTCTTCAGGTTAGCAATTATTCTCAAAGGGTATGATGCTTTCCTTCAAACTATATCCATATTATAGTACATATGCAAGACAACTGCCGGAGTTATTTTTGAGAATTGAAATCAGCCAACAATACAACAGATATTTAAGTAAAAACATTGCAACTCACAGGTACGTGAGGGACTGGAGCCCGGTGAAAGTGTCCTGGGACAGGATGCTCAGTGGGTTATGATCCAAAAACCTGACACAGAGAATTGTAATGAAAAGATAGTTAAACATTTTGGATAAGATTTGCTTTCTCATCCAGAAGATCAACACCACTTTCCCGTCAATACGTGAAAACTATACTGTACAGCCAGTAAATAACTTTTGCGTACTGACGAGAAGTGGTGTTGATCTTCTGGTTAAATAAAGCAAATCTTATCTAGCCTAGCTTAGCATAAATAGAGGAGGGGTAAAGAGCAAGCCTGGTTCTGTTTATTGGTAAAAAGAACTAACAAATAAAAATGTGATTTATGAACATGTTGTACCTTGTAGGTTGAATATTGGCTGTAGCTTAATATTCTAGCATATAGACATGAGAGTGGTTTTAATAAAACTATCATAAGAAGATTATTAAAGAGACCTTAGAACAAGAAACGGTCACAAAAACACAACCGCAAAACAGAAACACCACAATTCAAAATGTCTATAACAAATGCCTTTACGTTTTTATGTTGTCTGTACTGAAATAAACATGATGTGAAGTAGAGCCTTATCTAACCCCAGCACCCTGCAAACAAACTACACATATCTAAACTAACATTTATTTATTTGGGTTAGATACCATCGAGAAAACATGAAATAATATAAAAACAAATAATAAAGTCTGGGTCCTTCACATTGAAACCTGATTTAGTAGACCTATAACACGACAGGCCCAAAACAAAGGGCACCGTTTAAAAAGCTCTGGAGCAAAAACAATATAACGCACCCATAAAGCTCTTTGCCTCATTAGCTTTACAGACATTCATGTCTGTGTAATGGTACTCAAATTGGATTTCATGGGGAAAATAAGGCATAATCTCCACAGCTGTACAACGTTTATGACTCCTTATAGGGAAGTGCTCTTGTATTTTCCACAAGTCACACAGTGTCCTGCCATCTGCATTAATATGAAACCTCAGCAGAGTACACGACACAATGACCTTCTCGTGAGTAGGTTGATGTCTGTCTTGTGTGTGTGTGTGTGTGTGTGTGTGTGTGTGTGTGTGTGTGTGTGTGTGTGTGTGTGTGTGTGTGTGTGTGTGTGTGTGTGTGTGTGTGTGTGTGTGTGTGTGTGTGTGTGTGTGTGTGTGTGCCTGGAAAGCGTACCCTGTCAAACTTTGACAAACACCCAACATAAATTAGTCATGGCTGAGAAGTTTGAAGTGTACAGAATGCAATGATGGATGTGTTCTGACGTGGACAAATTCTGTTTGTTTATCATAGATGGAATTTATTAAGAAAAGCGGCTCGAAAGAGTGCATGAGGGTCTGTGTTTGAGCTGTGCAATGCTGTATGTTGCGTCATTGCTTAATATCTATCATACTTTCTGAGGATATTATCTACAAAATCTTCATATTTAATAAACATTAACATCTACTTAAAGATCATATATAGGAAATACCTCATAATGCAGAACTTGCCTGAGAATTATCACGTTTTAAAGATTTTTCATTATTAAAACAACTCCTGATATAGTTGTCTGTTTATCTATGGTTACATTGCAAAAGGGAACTGTAAATGGAAGGTTTAGCATACTAAGTGTGCAAATTTGTCAAAATATAATAAAACAGAGGCTAACATGCATCTTTCAAATCATGGTAGCTGTTCATGAATATGACCCAAAAATAAATATACCCGATATTACTAACAGGGGTGAAAATATAAGTCTTCCTTGAGTATCTTGGACTAACTGATCTGTCCTGACTCTCCCCAGCCTCCCCAGTGGGACTGAAGCCCCCCATCCCGCCAGTCAGTGGAACCTTAGGAGAGAGGAAGGGTCCTGTCGTCATGGCGCCCGTCAATGTGGACCCTGAGAGTAAGCCGGGCGAATTCGTCCTGAAAAGCTTGTTCGCCAACTTCACCTTGCTCTCCGAACGCAAGATCCGCATCATCATGGCCGAACCCCTGGTGAGTGACTCTGCATCTCACCTTTTTTGAAGAAGTTTTATCTCAGTGTTTTTGTATGTTTATAGCACTTAGGGTTGAACACCTGATACTGTATGTTTCATAAAAGGAACATAACAAGATTAGTGCCTGGAGAACCTAGTCTGATGCTAAGTAATGAAATTGGTTCTGGGCCTGTTTTAAGCACTCAGCCGATGATCACATTTACATTTATCTGAAAATGGAACACCAACAAAGCTTCATAATGTCTTCATTATTAACAGTTGGACTCTGGAGATATATTAAACAAATTCAGACAATGCAGTGACACTTTGGTCTAAGTTTGGATTACAACTTATTTTCAAGGCATTAAACTTGCTGTTCCCTGTCTCAAAGTTCCATAAAAAAAATGTTTCCACCTGTTCTGATCTCTTCTGACATGGATGTTGTTTCCTCGTGTGTGTGTGTGTGTGTGTGTGTGTGTGTGTGTGTGTGTGTGTGTGTGTGTGTGTGTGTGTGTGTGTGTGTGTGTGTGTGTGTGTGTGTGTGTGTGTGTGTGTGTGTGTGTGTGTGTGTGTGTGTGTGTGTGTGTTACTCACAGCCACTGTAATTGATGGAGATCACTGAACACACCGGGACTCAGGGAGGATATCAAGTTTTCACTGAGAAACCTGGGGTAAAAAAACAGAGACAGAAGGGATGATATTCTATTTTTGTTTATTTTATTCTCAGGGATATAACCTTTCAAGCTAAATTAATTACATAATATAAAAGTCTTGACAATCTCTAGTTTCAACTCTACAATGATTTGCTGATTTTCTTTGTCATATATCATAGAAAACTGAATATCTGGGTTTTAAACTTGCTGCAATTGCCATTTTTTCCATTATCTTTTCCATTTCATAAATAATTAATCTTTTAATTGAATCAAATAACGCGGAAATAACTCTATCATGAAACGTAATGGAAGCCCTAGTACACAGTTACATAAAAATACATCTATCATTTTCTAACTGTGCTTAAACTTGAAACACTTTCCTGACAGCTTGGTTTTCTGACCTAAATGTTCTTCTGTTTTTCGATTGGCTTTTGTCGACAACGTAATTAACATTTTAGTTTATGTATGTGTCAACTATTCAGTGTCCCCAGAGCCAGTTTGGAGTCAGAACATTTTACCAAAGCCTTGTGCAATACTGTCAGACAAATGTGTTGCAAAAATTACTTTTTCTCTAATGCAAAAAAACAAGAAGTCACAGTCACAGTCACTCATTTTGAAGTGGGCAGGCTACTTACAACCTCTTCAAACTGTACAAGCCGCTGAAGGCGTGTTTGGATATGAACTGGAGGCTGTTGTTTTGCAGATACCTGGGAACAGAGTAAAATAATCAAAATCCATTTTCCCTCAACGCACACTTACACAAAGATTACGCCTGAGAATACAGACAGGATAATACACTCATAAGGACAGAGGACAGAACAATCAGTTGCTGAGATGTAATATATGACCATTAAATCACCCCTATAACTAGTGTTCAAAATATGTAAATTGCCATTAACTTTTAAGACAGTGAATATGTTTGTGAATGTGTGTGTTCCCTACTAACTAGATGCTGCAGACAGCTGCTTTATAAAAACAACTCAAAGTGTGGACATTATTGATTATTTTGGTACCCCACAACATGCAGCACGAAAGTAAATCCTCGCAAAGTAGACATGCTGGACTAGAGTTACACTCTGTGCATACTCATGAATCCACTGTGTCGAAAAAGGAAACAAAAGGCAGCTTCAAGTCTTGAGTTATATAAAAGTGTCATCTGTTTTACACTTCGTTGGTGTATTCATGCCTTCTTCAGTATTTATCATTAATAATGAAAGTCACAATTCTTAAGAAGATTCTGTGTGTTTCAACATTAATGCACACTTCCTTAATACACATCTATACTTAGAATGACGCAGCATAATGAAGACAGTTGAATGCCAAATGGTTCAAATGTAAACAAATACTTCTGGTTATCTGTCACTACATTTATCTTTTCTTAGTATTTATCTTCATGACAGATGACTAAAACTAAAATGACATCAGAGATGATTCGTTCCTAATCAATTTTTAAATGATTAATTGAGTATAAACGAATTAACAATTGGAAATGCGAGAACGACTTACCGTAACCGTCACTCTAGTTGCCTCCTAACGGTGAACAGCATGACATTTATTTGACCGCAGTCTGTCTCACATAATAAAATCATTTCAAGTACGATAAATGAAACAAAATGTCAAGTTTGCCTGGTTCACCTGGTAATTTACGCAAGAATAACACACATCTATTTGTAATGTCTGACAATAAAACAGATGAACTGCTTCATAATGATTGTGGACAATCTACAGCAAAGAAAATAATTAAATGAAAGGGGACGGATGAAATAAATCCATATTTAAAAAAAACACAACCACGCTAAGTGGCTGGCCATAAAACATTTTAATGTGTGTTGAGCTCATTTCATCTATGATTTCAGAGATCCACATTTATATCTGGAAATGCAAACAGTAGTAACATTTCAATGGACATTCCACTTCTGTCTTTCGGGGTAGGAAAGGTGAAAAAAACTAAAAAACGAAATGTATTCAACTCAAAAGGCAAGTATTAGGATGGGCTCTTATCTTCCGAACCAAACACATGTTTTTATTTGCTTGTATACATTTACAGTATGATGATTATTGGCACATGTGGCCATATGTAGGGTGGCTGTGGCTCAGTGGGTAGTGTGCTGGACTTTGAATCAGGGGATAGCAAGTTTGAGTCCCACTGCAGTCAGCATGTCGTTGTGTCCCTGGGCAAGACACTTCACCCCAAATTGCTCCTGTGGGGATTGTCCACAGTACTGAATGTATGTAAGTCGCTTTGGATAAAAGCGTCTAACAAATGACATGTACTTTTTGTTTTATTTCCAGTCTTTTGATAGATTTTATTTTAATGTACCTTCTTTCCCTTTCTACCTGTATATACATATGCATGTTATTAAGTAACAAACATTGAGTGTGCCTTTCGACTTCATTAGTGCTAGTTTTGCTCAGTCATTAATTCCTTCTTTTTTTTACTGTAGTGGGACTATTGTTTTCTTAACCCCTACCATAACATCTCATCTAAGAGATTCTGAGTAACTCACCAAGTGTAGAAAACACATAAATAACAGAGTTTACCGACCCAAACTGTATTTGCAAAAATGTGGAAAGCAACATAAAAATACTTACAGTCTCTCTAGGTAAGAGTATTCTGAGAAAACTAAATCAGACAACACTCGAATCTCATTTCTCCTCAGTGACCTGTAACAGAAGCCATACAATGGTAGAGTTAGGAAAGCACAAAATGCATTTAATGTTAACACAGTGGAACAATTTACTGCTATTATTTAGAGGTGGCTTTTAAAGAGTGTGTGGCTTCACATTTCTACAATAATTGAAGCACCATCTGTCAGAGTGAATACTTGAAAAGGTCCACCGTGTAATATGAAAAAGTTGGACCAAGACCACAGTGGAATAATACTGGACGCAGGGAAGGTGGAATAAAAATGAAGGGATATCACATTTTGCCATCTGTCTCAAAACGGTATTTTCAATGGCAGTAACAGAATAATTTTGAATGATTTACAATCTTTGAAAATCATGTTCATCATCATCTCCTCGTCAATTTATTTCCAGATGGGCAAATCATTTTTCAACTGCGTTTTTTTCTTTATCTCATAGTTCAAAATTGGATGTTAAAAATGTAAAAAATTTCTGATAAAGTTAACGAAAATGTAAGCGGGCTAAAATAAGAATAAATAAATGGGTCCACAATTGATAAACTGTTGAAACTATCAACTATAACAAACTCAAACTTTTGTCATCCACAGATACTGCACCTGTTGACCTACCAAGCAATTAATTTATACTGTTAGTTTTACACTTTGAATGTCAAGCACAGAACAAGATATTCTGACTTTTAAATTGATCCTCTCTTAACTCAAGCATGACAGTGCTGTGGCTTTTAGAGGTGAAAAGGTATCTCCAGAACCACGGGACAACTAGACTTAGGGCTGTCGGAAAATATCTATTATAATAATTCAGCAAGCGTACAATCACTGAGAACAAAAGACAGAGAGACTGACATTGAATTACTCACTAACAGAGCGAAAGGGGATGGACAAATTGAAAGGGTGTCTGTAGGAATAAGATTAAACAACCTAACCGAATAAAGACATAGAGACAGAGAAGTAATTTTCACACTGTATGCACGAAACTAACTAAAAATATGATTGAAAGCTACAACAAACATCTTATTTGTGTTACTGTTGATCTTTCTGAGCAGTGGGGGCCGCAGCAGAGGCCCAGTGATGTTGTCAGGGAATCAGGAACTCAAACTGTTTCTGGGGCTATTGTAAAATCCAAAGCTAAGCCAAGCGAGACAGTGCCCTAAAATCAAACGGTTGAATTGATTTTACAACTAAAAAGCAGCAACTGCACAGACTATAAAGTAGGGGAGAAGCGGTGCTGTCAGTAGCGTGCAGACCTGTGCTGCAGCCTGAACATTGATTATTGGCTGAGGAGAGATTTATTTGAAAAAGATACAGCTTCTTTTGTAAGAAGAGAGCAAGGGAGTGACTTCTCTTTTGAAAGCGAAGAGAAGTAAGTGTGAAATGACCTGCGGACTTAAATGCAACAATCAAACTAAGGATGTATCATTTTGACAGTGAATTGCCATATAAATGAGAATATGCAAATGAGAATGCAATCTAAATGAAAACTTTCCAAAACTTCATTAAAAAGTGCAAAATTGTTGCAACAATTATATGAATGGCAATAGTAGAAAGTAGAGGAACTGAATATCACCGAAGATACCTTTATTCTTGCACACTAAATGTAAATAATATCCTATTTCTATATTGTGTTAGCTGTCATTTAGCCCTTTCATAGTGGTTTATTTGTCAGATAGTTTACAGATCTTTAACTTCACGGTCAACTTTTATATTTGATTGTTTTATCTTTTCAAAGCAAAGACAAGTAAGTGTGAAATGACCTGCTTACTTAAATGCAACAATAAAACGTATGAGGTATCATTTTGACAGTAAATTGCCATATAAATGATAATAAAATCAAAATCACTTCGAAACAACTTCAAAAACATCATTAAAAAGGGCAAAACTATAATGACAATTATATGCATGGCAATGTCAGAAGGTAGAGCAACTAAATATCCCTGAAAATACCTGATTCTTGCACACTAAATGTAAATAATATCCTACTTTTATATTATACTGTGTAAGCTGTAATTTAGCCCTTCGATAGTGTTTTATTTGTCAGATAGTTTACAGATTTTTAATTCACGGTCAACTTTTATATTTTATTGGTTTATCTGCTGGTGGTGAGGACTTCAGACAACTTCAATTTAAAACATGCTATAGAGACAAGTGCCATCAGTTTTAGGCTTGATTGAAGGTCATTCCAAGACCAAGGACCATAATAAGAAAGACTCCTTTTTCCAGCCTCAGTCCGTACAGTAGGTACCTGGAACCGTATCCAGGCACTGGATCTGAGGTTGTAAGAGTCGCAAACTGGGGCAAATCTGACACATATGTAAAGTGGAAGCTTACCTAAAATGGCTTTATACATTAATACAAACCAGTGCTGCATCCTACGCATAGTAAGTGAGGACCATCCAGTTAGGCTATACAGTGTGCAATGATGAGTCCTATAGTGTGCATTTGATATATAACGCAGTGCAGCATGGTAAAGTGGGTCAAGTTTGGCCAAAACAGTGGGACAGGCAAATCTATAAATGGTATCACCGTAGTCCAGCTGGGACAGGAATAAGCCAGAGACCAACCTTTTACGGGATGAAATTGAAAAACAACATTTAAGTCTGAAAAGTCCAAGAGTGAATTTCAATTTCTTTGTTAAAACTTCAATATGGTGTTTAAAGTTCAGATTACTGTCCAACCAAAAGCCCAGATATTTGTAGGTATCAACAAACTCAACAGAAACGCCATCAAGGGTGTCAATGGAGAGGCAAGAGGAGGACGCTGACTTGGGAGCAAAAAGCATTGCTTTGGTTTTCTTACTGTTCAATAGCAGTTTGGAATCAAGAAGTGCATGCTGCAGCGTGATAAAATCTGATTTTAAATTGGAAACGGCCATATCCAGAGAAGGAGCACATGAGTATACAATAGTGTCATCAGCATACATATGATAGGTAGAAAATTGCATCTGATTACAAATATTGTTTACATATAATAAAAAGAGCAAGGGCCCCAAAATAGAGCCCTGTGGAACTCCCTTCTCCAAGGTGACAGGGTCAGAGACAGTACTACCCAACCTGACGCATTGAGTACGGTCGGTTAGATAACTCTGAAACCAGCAAATGGCATTGTGACCGAAACGAGACACCAACATAACATTAGACATAATGTGGTGATCTACAGTGTCAAATGCTTTGGCTAGGTCAATAAACAATGCAACACAAACTGATTTCTTATCCAAAGCAGCCTTAATATCGTCTAAGACTTTCAGACTGGCAGTCACAGTACTGTGCTTTGATCTGAATCCAGATTGCATAGGGTTAAGGATGTTGTGTGAATTTAAAACATTGATGCATTTCTAATCAGTACAATCAATGTTAATAATTCAAAATTGGTGTCAGTTTTATTAGTTCAAGGAATTCTCTTCAGGCCCTTGCCACTAAATAAAAGATATGAATGAGACAATGAAGCACAAAAGAACATTAGATGCGTGACAAATGAGGTAATGAAACAGATTACTGCTTTTAAGATTCTGAAACAAAATGAGTCCTGGAAAGTGGTGACCAAAGTAAGATAATGACAATTGACTTGATGTATCGTGAAGTTTGCTGACGACAAGACCGTCATCGGCCAGATCACCGACGGCGACGAGACGACGTACAGAGAGAAGGTTGCAAACCTGACATCTTGGTGCCAGGATAACAACCTCCATCTCAACATCAGCAAAACAAAGGAGCTGATTGTGGATTACAGGAAGCAGCAGGGAGAGGGACACGCCCCCATCGCCATCAATGGGACTACGGTGGAGAGAGTCAGCAGCTTCAGGTTCCTCGGTGTCCACATCACTGAGGACCTGACATGGACTCATCACACTAACACCATCACCAAAAAAGCTTGTCAGCGGCTCTTCTTCCTCCGCAGGCTGAGGAGGTTCAACATGGACTCCAGGATACTCTGCAACTTCTACAGGTGCACCATAGAGAGTATCCTGACTGGCTGCATCACGGCCTGGTACGGCAACTGCACCGCCCTCAATCGTAAGGCTTTACAGAGGGTGGTGAAAACTGCACAGCACATCACCAGGACGGAGCTGCCATCCATGGAGGACCTTTACTCCCAGCGGCTCAGGAAGAAAGCCCTCAGGATTACAAAAGACCCCCATCACCCCAGCCACAAACTGTTCTGTCTGCTGCCGTCTGGCAGGCGATACCGCAGCATCCGGACTAAAACCACCAGACTCAGGGACAGTTTCATCCCACAGGCCATAAGACTATTAAACACCTGAACTTTTGAACAACATCCACAACATTAATCTGGCTGCAATTTAGAAATTATTTATCTAATATATCATATTTAATCACTTGCATATAGACTCTTATTGCACTATTCCACTTTTTTACTTTTTGTATTTACTTGCAATATTCTTTCTGTTTTTTCTGTTTTATTGTGTTGCACTGTTGGAGGAGCCTGTGACCTAAGATTTTCATCGTCATAACTACACTGTAGCTATGTACGCATGACAATAAAAGCCTTGAACCTTGAACCTGGAACCTTGAATGTAATGAGAAAGCTAGTTTTAAAAAATTGTTTCCCAGGTGTTGAGTAGATATGATGACTAGAAGACAGAGGGGAAACAGCCTGGTGGTCTACAAACTCAAAATACACCTTTGAGCAGCCCAAAATCTTAGTAAGAGATATTTTCCATAGCAGACATTTTTGCTGCTCATAACAGAAAAAGCACAAGTGTAATTGATTACATTAAAAACAACAGAATTCCATGTCGCTGGGTGCCATCCATCTTCCTGGTATTGTGCATTTTGGCTCAGTGGCACGGTTCACTGCTTTGCTTTCGTTCACAAAATCAGTTTTACAAGGAACAGGATTACATCTTTTGACTATAAAAGCCTCTGCACATCTCCAGGAACATAAACAACACGCTGAAAACTGCATTGCTGAAGCCAGATTCTGGACTGAAATAGCTTTGTGAATACAACGAGAAGACACTTACAGCCAGGTAACGTTAGGAGAGAGCCGAGGAACATCCTGCAGGTTGACCTCCACACACACCACATCTGTCTGTTTGCAGTCACAACTCTCCGGATACTCCTGCAACACTACACACACATACACACACTTTAAACATGCATTCATGGTTTCTTATTATAGAAGGTTATTACAGAATGTTAAAAAGTGATACATGTGATGTTCCTTTGGGAGACAACATGAACCATTTGATTGTGCAGAAATTATTTTCATCATCGAACAGTTGTTGAAATTGAAAATGCCTGTTACTTATTACCAGGGCCGTACAGTGCTGGTACAGCTTTATGCTTCTTGTGCTTTTCTCTTTTTTACTTTAGTGTGTTATATAGGTTTTTGTGCATGTACAGTAAATGGTCTGCAAAGGCTAAAATCCCAAAGTTCACGACCGAGGGAGTTTCTCTCCCCCACTGCCTGAAACGCCTCTATTGGACTCCTTGGTTTACTTCTGTGACATAATAAAATCACTATGTAGCACTGCAGCTCTACAACATATTGTACATGAGGCTAAGCTAAGGGCCTGGAAACCTCTAAGTGGTTAACCAATCACAACAGAGCCGGCCAGCTAACCAATCCGAGTGGATTAAAGCATGTACATGTAAACATATCACACAATACAAATATTAACCTGAAAATGAGCATAATAGCGCCCCTTTAAGTATTTATGGTTCAAGCTTTTACTTTATCAGATGATGATCCATTTACAAAGCATAATGTAAGGATCCTTATTTTATCAAAGCAATAACAGACAGATATTCATACAAATGTAAATACTTAAACACATTCAAGCATGCATATTGTTTACGCACACACTTACAACACTCATTTAGGAGGTACTGTTCCACAAGTTTGGCATCCTGTAGTGTACGACCAAATGAGTCCGCCCAGCCGTAGTTGTCCCCTGCAAAGCCAAACAAGGACAATAGTATCTGCACAGACAGATTACATCCAGTGACGATCACTCACACGGATGGAGCAATACATAAATGTGGTAGGCACAAGATAATCCTTCATCGAGGCATATTATCTTGTTAATTTATTGCAGTTGGATGAGGTTATAATCCATTTGAATTAAGAGTAAAATGTGCTTCATAGGAAACTGCAGCAGTTGATCTAAAAATACTGCTCTGACATGATTTCATTACCTTTTCATACTGTTCAAATTATTTTAAAATTGAACTGCACTTAAGGGATGTAGTTTGATTCAAAATGTTGTTGAATTTAATAATCTAGTTGCCATAGAATCAAGGTAAATTGTACTAAAACATAGGGCTGTGCAATTAATCATATTTTAATCGCAATTACGATTTTGGCCTGCCACAATTACGAAAACAACATAATCGAAAAAAACAATTATTTTGCTTTGCTAGGTTGTGACAGTGCACTACAACATATTTGATCTAATTAATTTTGGTCTCATTTATTTGTATTTATCATATTTATATATGTTTAGTAGCTTGGGGAATTTTGATATTATTTATTTAAATGTATCATTTATTTTATTTATTTTTGTATTGGTTTTTCAGTTGAATTATATGTTCAGGGTAATCAACAGTTAAAAAGATACTATTCAAATGATTCTTTGTATTTTTCAAAGCCAATGAATAATCGTATTTAATAATCGTGATATCAATTATTGACCCAAATAATCGTGATTATGATTTTTGCCATAATCGCACGGCCCTACTAAAACATAACTCCAGGCTTTTGACATAAAGATATTTTACTTAGAAAAGGCATTTCACATGCCTGTAAACAGCAATGAACACGTTCGCTACTAAACAACAGAAGCTTATAATAACTATCCATAACATATAACATCTGAACGAGGCATCGATCACATGTAGATGTTGTCTAATAAAAGACAGATTTTGCACCAAAGGCATTAACCAGAGCCTGACTGGAGCTGTCAAACATGTTTTCCCCGACAGGAAGCCAGCACATTTGTTTGCACACCAACCACAGCCTTCAATCTGCTGCCAGTCAAAACCTCCCTGAGGCTAGAGGCTGCATGTGAACATAGACAAAAGCTATGAAGAGTCACTGGTGATAATGAGAAGATATATATTTGTGAAAAGTTTAATGGATACCTCACTCTTGACACAATAGATATACTGTTCAATAGATGAGGAGATTGGTCTTGAATGGTAATGTAAACAATGTGTTCAAAATATTAAACCTCTATCGTTTAATCCATCTTTTTTTTCTGATGCTGACAGTGTTACCCTTTTCTCGTATTCAGCCTTCTCGCTTCTTATTAGAGGGTTCACAGTTTTGGAGAATGCAAAATATGGTCGTGACAAGATTTCTCTCCAGCAGCTCAGCCCCAGATGGCCAAGGAGCTGCAGAGGTCACAGGAAAGCAAGACTACATTTGCTCCGGAAGCGTAGCATTCGTTGTTTTTTCCATAACAAAATAACCATGTTTTCCCCTTAGAAAATACTGTATGTCTGTGCATATGTCACATTAGGTATCGCTTAAATAAAATGTCAAAAAGTGGTTGTATTGAAGTGAAATATTAGTAAATGCCAAAATAAACTGCTTTAACAAAAATTATTCGAAACAAGGTTTTTTGATTAAATTGCTTCTAAAATCACAGAATAAGTAGATTGACATTTTTGCATAAAATGGAGGGAATACTGGGTAAAAATCTGAATCACTTCCTTTTCCCCTGGGCTAAATCTACAAGGACCCCTGCTGTGAACACATGCTGAGTGTATAATCATCGCCCGCAAATGCCTTTGGTTTATAAACATGCCTGTCATCCTCAATTCTTAATCTTATTTAATATTCAAGTTGAAGGGGCTGTTACGGTTCAGAAACCAGATTTACATAAATCTGATTTATCATGACATTCATTGGAATCCACTCGTTGACCGGGAAGTCACCGGTGGCACATTATTATATTAAACTGTCAAAATGTAGTAAATTGAAAAAGATGCCTTGATGTTTCGAGTGACAGACTAAGAGCTTGTTCTCCTGTGAATAGAGCAGTGGTTCTCAAACTTGTTCTGTCAGGCCCCCCCCCTTTGGAGATAGAACTATAATGATCATAAACGTGTGCCTCGGAAATAATTGTTTACATTAATGGTGACCAAAACGTTTGAGACCCACTGAGATAACTTAGACTAAAGTTAACTATCTAAACACTCAGAGAGTCCTTTAGCTCAGGGGTTCCCAACCCCGGTTATAAATATATAAAAATATTTTATCATAATATTTTTTTCAAAAAGTGTTTAATTTTCGCACCTATGCCACCAGTCCTATTATTTCATCCAGTAGCTAGTTAATCTTTCACCAGAAAACCGTTGAAAATGGCTTTTATGATGTTCCGAGGGATTCGGCGGCGCAGCCATAAGGTCTCAGCCTCTTGTGCGCACGAGCATGTTACCGGTGCGCCAAGTAGGAAGAGGAGCGCACAGGAGCAGTGGCGGCGCCAGGGTATGGCTGGGGTAGGCTACAGCCATACCAAGAAATGGCTTAGCCCCACCTTAGCCCCACCATGAAAAATGATGTTAAAGTAAGCTAAATAAAGTCCGTCATCTCGCGCGGAGTAAATTGCACAGACAGCAGTTAGTAAGATTGATTTCAGTAGCCACTTGTCTGGAAATACCGAAGACTAGAAACGGTTTTGAAAACTTTTGTCACGTAGTGATCTTCTTCCCAATAAAACATCTTTGATAATGTCTTCTGGCCAATCAGAATCACGATAACGGCGTGCAGGAAGTCCCGACGGAGAATACTTTAGCGGTAGTACATCTCTATATACATCGATACAACATTACGTGAAATAAGACCCCACGGTTTGATGATTGATAGGTGTGTGGGCTGTCTTTCATTTTGACACACAGAACAATGGGGGCTATCCACCCTTATCCACAATGTAATTCACACAGCCTCTTCCCCTTTCTCTCTGAGGAGCAGCAGGTTCAGCTTTCAGAAAAAAGTAACAAAAAACAAAAATGGCATTCATTTTTTTAAATATGTAGTAACAGATTTATTTATTTTTCTTCTCAAGAGAGTACCAGAATGTGTATTTTATGTTAGTATTTCAAAAAATCTCCTGGGGGAGAATCCCCCCAGACCCCCCTGTAGGGGTTGGGTTTTCAGCATGTCAACTCTTTCACCTGTGGGGAAATTGCAGGATTGGCTCCAGGTCGCCCTTTGTATTTACTACAAGACAAATGTGCCTTTTTAATTCATACAGTTCAATTTGGATTGAGACAGGGAAATAATCTAAACCTCACGCGTGGCGTTTCACTGTCAAGGGGGGCGATATAGCGTGTATGTAATTACATTGCAAATACTGACTTGAGCCCCACCACTGTATGGGTTAGCCCTACCATAGATTACCCAACACAAATACTCTGGAGCCGCCACTGCACAGGAGACAACCGTTTGATTGCAGACTGTTATGTTTATGTGGGGAAATGGTGGTGCATACATTATTTGAGATATATTTCAAACTCGGACTTCATTTTAAGGACATGTCGGCCAGGGGTGTAGAGCTATTTGTTTAAGCACCGGATTGGCAAAACAGGAGAATAAACCAGTCTGCCTTGATCTATGAATTAATGTCCGGGACTCTCACGGTATATGCTGCCCGCAGCTGTTTTATAGAAGGAAACCCTCCTTCACTTAATGAAATGGCTGCAGCATCAGGAGGCAGCGGGACGTATACTCGGTAAAGAGCTGTGCCTTTTTACGCACCGCCTTCGCTGTGTTTAATTTAATCAGAACAGCTTAAGAGTGACTGCAGGCTGCTACGTGTTAACCACACACACCTCTACCATACTTGCCAACCCTCCCGATTTTCGCGGGAGACTCCCGATTTCATTGCCCTCTCCCGGTTTCCTCCCGGGGTCATATTTCTCCCGCATTTCTCCCGATTTCTGACAAAATCAGATTTACTCAGGACTGTTTCCACTCGGACTTTAATACAGCTACACCATTGTTTGGTTTCCATGGTAGCGTAGCGCGCGCAACTGAAAGTCTGACGGGCCGTCTCCACGGCAGCGTTAAAAAAATCTTGGAGGTGGGCATATCTGAAGCTTGGGGATTTTTTTGCGATCAACCAATCACATGAATCTCCCGCCCGCGACATACGAAGCCAAAAAGCCCGAAGTAAACTGGATATAAACTCCCCAAAACAGGCGAAAACATACCACTGTCTCTGCCACCTCCCTCCATGCCTGGCTCCTCCGGTTTATATCCCGGTAGGTCTGGTCATAAAGCACCGGGTGATTGATTCGCTACCGCTAATTTCTCCTCCATTTTTTGGAATATGAGGAAATGATCTGCGGGATATCTCTCCCAGCATACACGCCGTTTAATTGGCTAGAGCTTGAACTGTCAGATTTGCGTACACGGGATTTGATTGGCTGACGCTTCCTCCTCAGCTTCAAAAGTTGAACATTGTTCAACTTTGGATCTTGAAAATCCTGAGAATCTCCGCTCGCCTGCCCACAATGCATTTCGGCGAAAGCGAAAAAAAAGTGACGTCACCCCATTCAAAGTGAATGGGCAGAAGCGTTTCAAGATTTTTTAACGCTGCCGTGGAGACGGCCCGTAGAGGGTGAGGAAGATAGTCACAGCAAACAGAACAAGAATCGACAATTCTACCCTCTGCTCACTCCTTTCCTATAAAATACAGGTCCAGCCCACACATATGGTGCTACAGGCCGCAAGGCAGTGCACTTACAACTACAATAAGCATGTTAATGTTAATCTAATACAGCTCCGGCGATCCACTAGCCCCCCCCGCGGTGGTTTTGGAAATGCTCCCGATTTCTGAGGTCTCAAGGTTGGCAAGTATGACCTCTACACACATCTCTACACACATCGAACTGCCCGATTACTCCCCCTTTTATTAGTTTTATGAAGGAGATGTCCAGTCAGTCAGTCACCAAGGCGCATGATGTGTGTATGTGCTCTGCTCAGCTCTGTGTGTTCGGTGTGTTTGTGTCTGTCCGACACCGGCATATATGCGGCTGTTCCCAAAATAAATTAGTTTAATCTTAATCTCGATGTAGTGCTAAATGCTGTCGGGAGTGCACCGGAACGAACGACACTATCATAATATCTTCTGAAAACAAATGCCAGTGTCACACACACACACACACACACACACACACACACACACACACACACACACACACACACACACACACACACACACACACACACACACACACACACACACACACACACCCTGGCGACCGGACCGCTCCTTCATAATGCGCCTTCTCCTCGTTTTCCCAGCATTCACTGGATTATCCGTAAATCATACAAACAAAACCAAAACGTTGATTTATCTGTTTTCCCGTTTTGGTTTAAAAACTGAATAACGTCGGTTTTTTGGTTTTCCGAAAAACCAAAAAACAACACCGGTTCTTTTTTAAACTTTGTTAATATGTTTTGGATGCATATTGTTCTAGTATTTGTTCAGGCTGTTACATACAATTAGCCTCTGTTGCTACCTGCTGGTGGTGAGTAAATATTAAAATCAGTTAAAATTGACAACCGGTCCGCGATTTTTTTTTAATGTATCTACCGGTCCTTGGCACAATAAAGGTTGGGAACCCCTGCTTTAGCTCACTGAGACTCTCAGTCTGACAGGAGAGGACTCTCCTCCACTTTGTTGTTGAAAAAACTCCTTATATCCGTTAGCGTAGCTCGCTAGCACCAGAAGCTAACAACAACTATCTCCGGTACCGGTGCGCTCTCTCTCTCTCGCTCCCGCACGCACACAAAATGGCTCGTTCCACACACAAACTGAGCCGAGCTTTAATGAAACACAGAGACCCAGACGTAATAGTACTGTATCATATTATTTTCAAATCACTAATTTTTCAAATTATATATATATATATTTTTTTTAATAATCTTTTTTCCTCCTGGTCTCTCGCGCCCCCCCCCTGTCGCGCCCCCCACTTTGAGAACCACTGGAATCGAGGAAGGCACAAACTGTCAAAGTGTTCTTAACTTAAGACTGTAAATAACCCGAGTTGTGGCTCTTGCTTTTACAAAGCGCCAGCTGTATTCACAACTTGATTCTGGCTGAATTTCAGCAATAAGACCTCCAAAGAGATGCCAACCTTTCATTTTTTGAGCAACTATCCAGTCTTTTGCCAAGGCTTTACGGCACGAAGTTGAGTGTGTTGAAACTGGATCAAGTGTTATAGAAAACACTTTTCTGGATTTCCCTTTCCTGTCAGGGTGTTAGCCGTTAGCTCTGTAATGGTTTTGTTTACCCTGCTAGCACAAAAGCTTTGGATCGCTGGGAGTAGAAGGTTTTCAGGTCCGGTGTGGTGGAAATACTGGTGGGTAGCGTCTCCTGTTGAGGCACATTATTTGTGCCAAATGCAAGTGTAACGTACATTAATCATATTTACGATTTATTAATTAATTGCACTTTGAACCTGAAGGGTCGTCAAATGGTATCCTGTTACTTTAATAGGAAAATATAAAAATCCTCTTTTATTCATGTTTTTAATAGGGAACTTAAAATATGTACTTAATAAATCCCTCTTGATGGTGGCTCATTTGCACGGAACATGTTTCAAAGAGCACAGCTTTTCCATACTTTTCCACGCTTTTCCACTTCCTGCTGATCACCTTGGGGACTGTTAACTAGTCGGAAAGAACCAGGGGTCACAATGTGCTTGTTCCGAATCTCTGTTCTCACATATTTTACACGATAGTTATATTTTCTATTTTATCCTTTGCCCTGCATTGTTAAATGAGAGAATCTACTTTTGTTGCTCTTGGTATAATGAAGTATGTGGAGCATTAGTATGTGTTGTGAAGTGCTTTCTGGAGCATCTCTCTCTGGCAAACAAATGAACTTACCCATCCTGTATATGTTGATGAGACAAGTCTCAAATGACATGTAAAAAAAAAAACACTTACAACAGCGGTGCTCGTCAGCTCCATTGGGACAGTCTCTGTGTCCGTTACACTGCAGAGCCTGTGGGAGGCAGTCACTCATGTTCCCACATGGGAAATGGCCGAGGGGGCATCGATCATCCACTTCCTGCTTGTTGCCCAAGAGAGCTGAGGGAGAGATGGACAAAAGAGAGTGAAATGAAATGGGTTATTCTCACAAAAGCGTCACATTTCAGCTGTCGACATTCAGTTCAGGGAAAAAGTGTGACTCAAATAAGTTGAAAGCAAAACTTCACAGGAAATATTTCAAAGTAAGGGAAGGTAGTTTTATAAAAGTTCAAATATAAGACCAGGTTTTAATAGTAACTATATTAATGAAGTTAGAGCTGTTCCCGCCATGTGTGTAAAGTCTCACTTTGGAGAAGGGTATTCAATAAACTCAAGAGTAAGGAATGTTATAAACACCAACAAAAACAAATGTTGGGGGGACATTGACTTTCAGTTGCATGATGATATGTTATTGGTGAGCCTCATTAATAGAGCCTGTTAACCACTCAGCCTTTATAGTATTTAAGGTTATATTTGTGGAGACAATAACGCCACTCAAACCGTGTCTTCTTCTGTGCTCTCCATCATGTTCATGGGACTCAGTCATCCCAATGTTGGAGTGCTGTTTAACTCCCACAGCCTACACTCCCATATTAATGAGAAATGAGGGTTATACAAATGCTCTGATTCATTAAGCTCAACTTTGAGATGTTCATAGTTTGTAAATTGGTTAACAGAGGACTCATTTATGTCAGTCATTTTGTTTTTAAACGTTTTTCATGATCCTTCAAGGTGCATTATTTATGACCACCCTACCACTTCTGTCCAAACCTCAAGCCGCAAGATGATTAAGTTGTCAGAAAATACTTTATTTTAGCTGTTCATTTACTGCAGCCTTTCATGGATATGGCCTGTAAAACAAGACAGGAACAAATCCCTCGTTATCACTTGCCAGCAAACACAAAAGCTCTACTCACTTCTGAAAGGGCACACTTATATTCCTACCGACATCCAATATAAACACACCTAAAATGACTTCCTTGTACCTTTGCAATAAGCCCTATATTGCTACAACCTACAGTTGGCCCATTTATTCCTTAAGAAGAGTGATTAAGAAAAGCAAACAGAAGATCCAGGAGACATTTCCAGGTAAGTGACCCACAGCAAAGAATAACAGAAATAGAGGATACAGATGAACAAGCAGCACACAAAGGCCTCTTCTTTATGCAGAAAGGCACTAATTGGTAACAAGGAGCTGCTGAGGAGGACCAGAGCTGGGAACAGTGAGACAGATGAGCATTCGTTTGTGACATCTCTTTTAAGTATATACAGAATACACTTTTATATTATTATTTAATGAACCAGTACAAGTTAGTCTCTCAGGTGAGAATAGTTTTGTTTTTCATTGAGGATTTCTCAAGTGGTCATTCTTTTGTATCACTACTTTTTTCAACTTTCATTAAGCCAACTTCTGACATGGTGGCAGTCCTGCAAAGCACTAACTCTCTCATTATACTAACATAACATTAACAGAGGTTATCAAAGCTGGGATTAGTACCCCCACCCTAAGAAACTCTCTTTTTTTAATGAAGAAAGTGTGTAAGAGAACTGAAAATGTTCTTGCCTTAATGGTGAGGAAGACAAAAGATCTGCAGAGTTTGGTTTTTCATGTTTTGTCTCTGATTTACGCGAAGTCAGTGGTTATATCAGGACTTATTGTTCTGCGTTGACCGTAGTTCAAAGCCAGTGTTTCTGCTAATACAATATCAAAATGAGATTCTTGAATGCTACACTTGGTTAGTCAAAGCCGGTCTGCAACATCTGAATCAAACACTTTGAAAAACAACATTTTCTGCTCCTGTTTGATCTCAGACTTGTGTCTTTTGTATCAGCGTCTTCCCTCAGAGACGCCTTTCAGTCTTGTTTGTTTTTGTTTTAACCTACACACATTAAATCCCACAGAAGAAGTCACAAATAAATGCTGAGTCTTGCCACAGTGATCACAGTCGTATGGCATTCACAATATAACCATTTAAGCCACTCAAAAACCAGAACACAATCTCAAATTTAGATGTGCAGAACTATTAAATTAGACTGCTTGTGGTCAATTTGAAATTAGTTTCCGTTCTCTCAAGCATGAAAGATCACCTAAAGTGTCACTGTTTCATTTGCCATTGTTGGGGGATTAATTGTCTATCTATTTGTATAGGGAATTTATTCTAGAGCCCTGCAGGAATGGCCCAAAACAGTCTGCATCAATCTATGTTTTACCCATATATCATGTGTATGGTACAAACACAGTAAGGCATTTCAAGGCTACTTTTACGACTTTATTTTCCTGCATTTTGGCTCATAGTTGTGATTGGAAGAACGGTGCAAAACACATGTAATTGGACCGTTACTGGATTTAAAATTCAGTACATAGTTGCTGACATTACTTTGAATGGGCCAAAACTCCCAACTGATCACTTAAAATGTATGTAAACACCCTCAAACCTGAGTCAGCACTTTACCTCTACAATAAATATTTGTCTCAAACCCAATGCGCTAGGGGGATAGAGACAGCACAACAAAATATTGTGTGAAAATGTCCTGCACAGTCCAGAAAATAATAGCAATGAGAAAACAGATCCACCAGAGTAAATATTTTATTACCTCTGGACACATGGATGCCAATTAGTAGCCCCACTTTGTGTTTTGTCTTTCTATATATGGCAAGTGATTTTATTAAGTGGTCTCACAGCGGCCGAAGCGTCTTCTGCGAACTCATTCAAATAAGTGCCAAGCCAGCAATGTTTGATGCATATTGACAACCATCACTTTGAGCTTAGTCTCACAATGTTTCTGACACAGGCAGAAGCTGTACTGTAGCAAACATTTGAAAATGATATGTTTGGGTGAAAACACTGAATGTAATAGTGTTGTTTGTTCATCGTTTCGCACAGAACTACATTTTATAGACAGAGTGGGGTAATGAGGGGTTGAGGGAGAGATTTATTTTATAGTTAAATGATCCTGCTACATTTGTCACTCAGCCAAAAATAAACTTTCTCTGACTTGCTCCAGAGATGTTTTGTTCTGAATTTGGTGAAAACTGCTCAAAATGTGTAGGAGGAGTAGCCAATTCAGTGGTAAATCCATATTGATGCATATGGATGTGGCTTATATAATTTGGCTATATCTTTCTGTACTCACTCCTTGCAGTTAAATGATTACAAGCTAAAACATCAAGTTCATTGCTTTAGGACTAGCATCTGTCCAAATTGCACCAAATTCGACAACACACTCCCTTGGGTCTTGAACAATACACAAGTGTGAGGAGGACAACTTACACATAGACAAAGTTGCCTGGCTTTATTGTTAGAAGTCAATCTTTAACTATTAAAAAAAAGAACAAAAGTAGCTATACCACTCATTGTATGCAGGTGTGTTAAAAGTGCAGTCGCTATTGCTATATTATTCTTTGTGTGTGGCGTCATCACCATGTATACATCTGCAGGGTTGAACTATTGTTTTTTGTGGTGGTGCAGGTGGTGTGTTGTGTTGTTCTGACAATGACAGATTAACTCTCCCTCCACAGTCTGTTTAAAGTAAATTGGTCGGTTTGCCAGGTGTTTTATATTCTAATTGCTTACTATGTTTTATAAACAAAATACATGACTATTACAAACATGACATTAACTAAAAACTGTCTGGCAAAGCTTCCACCTACACAAGCAGACTAGAGACAATAGAAAAATAAAACTTTGTATCAGTCCACCAGTCCCTCAAGATGCTTTCCAGCCGCAAAGAGCAGATTCAGTTTGACACAACGCCTCGTTGAGAGGTAAAAAACCTTCACATATCGAGACTGGAAGCAAAACATCTGATACGTTGCAAGCCTCTGTGGCCCTTCAGTCTGAAGGATGCTTGATGCTTCTGGTTGCATCATTACTGCACTCAGTGGTCAACGGCACAAATAAAATGTGTACTGTAAATACCCTGCAGACAACCAGTAAAGAATCCTGATCTCTACGGTCTCTGCTGCTCTGGAATCTCTGCTTGAGGCTCAGAAAAATCTAAATCTCCTGTTGGTACGCTAACTTCCCCCTTTCCCTGCAGACAGAAAAGACTTGATGTGAGCAATAGTCTGAGTAATCTGATGTTATCTGACATATATTTCATTATAAATTGGCTCAGTGTCTGTTGAAATGAACCCGAATGGTAGGCCTACTCTGTCTGTCTGACTGTCAGTCTTAGAAAACGGCAAAGCAGTTGTGACTCTGATGCTTTAAAACCCTGACACTGAATATAAACTCTCCTCCATTGCCCTGATGGAAAATATTTGATGTATTGTGAATATTTGGAGAAATTAATTCAGAGAAATATATATAAAATTCTTTAAAAGGGTTCCTCACTGAGCAGGAGTGTCACAATACTGTAATAAAACTATAATCTTTTATATTTCTTACCATTATATAATGATCATTGTAACTGTCTAAGAAGGGAAATACATTTTATAAGCCAATTTTGATTACCAAGCCGAATAACACCCGTTTCGGAGTTGTTGTTGTTCCATCAAAACGAGTGTTAATTTCTGCATACTTATTGTGCCAGCAATCACAGCTCGTTTCCCGATTTGGAACAAAACAATACAGAATATCTGTCCCTGTCCGGCCGCTCAACACTCAGTGTTTCGTTTTGTGTCAAAAATAAATCCTCATTCAAGAAACATTTTGACACTAGGAGAGAAGATGAGTCACAGGCTGGGAGGTGAGGGGGTGGAGTTGGCTTGAATGTTATATACAATTATGTGAAATGTAACTGCTCTACCCCATGCTGTTTGGGAAATCCCTTTTAATATAAACATCTTAAAGATTGAGATGTAACAGTTTACTAAAAAGAACTGTCAATTTGTCATAATTATTATTCCCTAAATAATCTCACAATTCATTATAAATCTTTTCAAGGTTTTATTGTTTTTAAATTAACTCAAGTCCCTCTCGCAGCCTTTTCACCTCCTTCTCTGATAGAAAATTCATCCTATTAATAAAATATGATAAATAAAATCAAGTACTTATATTACCTCTCATCTCAGTGTGAGTGAGGTGGATAAGCAAAATGAAGACAGGTACGTCCATCCGGCGCAGAAGTTTTCCAGCACTCATGTCTCTTCGGCTGTAACGCCTCAAACCGATCCACGATATAAGTCCCTGTAAGAAACCGACAGATAATTCAGCCAAAGTCCCGGTCAGTCCAAAATGTTAGAGCATGCCCGACATCTAAAAAAAACCGAGAGCGCGAAGTAAGCCATCGGATGAATTGTGAAGTGGCTGCACCGTGCGCAAAATCAGCGACATGCTCTCCAAATACTGTCCTCCCGGAGCTCTCCGAAGACTCTGCTTAGATCTCCGTACAGCCGACTGCCCCCCGTCTCTCTCTCTCTCTCTCTCTCTCTCTCTCTCTCTCTCTCTCTCTCTCTCTCTCTCTCTTCTCTCTCCTCTCTCTCCTCTCTCTCGTCATCTCGACTTCACTCCTCTCTCTCTCTCTCTCTCTCTCTCGCTCTCTTCTCCTCTCTCTTCTTCTCTCTCGTCTCTCTCTCTCACTCTCCTCTCCTCTCTCTCTCGTCTCCACACACACACACACACCACACACACACACACACACACACACCACACACACACACA